ATGAACTTTTTCCGATTCCGGCGGGACCAATGTCATTCTCTTCGTCTTGAGACGAGGATCAATAATATCCAAACCATTTTGTCTAATTTGGCCTGTAACTTCTCGAATCTGAATTTTTCTACTCGAAAAACCCTAAAATTCGAAATTGGGTCCAAAATTGGGGGTTTTGCAAATCGTCATCAAATCTTGCAATTGAGGTGTCCCTGGAGGTCGCCCGGATGCCACGACCGCATTGGAGTTGGTGCCCGCCGTCAATTTCGCCGGAGTTGGCCGGAAAACGCTCCGACCCGCCGGAATCGGAAAAAGTTCATTTTCCGGCGACTTTGACCGGCGGGCGGCGGCGGCGGGGCCTAGAAGAAAAGAAAAGAAGAAATGGGGTCAAATTGAAAATTTTAAAATATATAAAATTCGAATTTGGCCCTAATGACCGGAAGTTAACCTAGAAACTTGCTAATGGCTCATTAGTGAAAGGATTGTGTAAGTTCAGGGATTTTTGTGAAAGGATTTGAAGTTGAGGTACCACTTCGAAATTCCAGCTAAAGTTCAGGTACCATTACTGAAATTTACCCGGAAGTTCACCGGATCAAACTACGCAAATTATATGGTATCCAGTTGTAACTTCCTTTAGGTACATCCTGATATTTTTGTAAATTTTGCAAACTTTTTATCCAATGCCCAAAACATATATATGAGAACTATTATATATGACAATGAGTACCAGCAGATTTGAAGAGTACCAGCACTTATGAGAATTATCATATTCTTATTCAATACAAACATGAATAAACCTGGGTTTAAATTCTCCATGCTCAGAGAGTATAAATGAGTAGGAACGAATCGAATAGAGGAAGAAGTTGATGATGGTACTGAACTTTTTAATTGTGAAAAAATTGAACAATACTTTATTTCAGAATGAACATTTCCTTATTTGAGAATGAGTATTGTTTTTTTAAGAATGAACACTACGCTATTTATTATAATTATATTAGACAAATGTGTAAAAATGAGTACTTCTTTATATTTAAAATGATTACTACCTTTACGAGAATGAGTACTACATATTTCGAAATGAATGTTTATATTTGTACGAGAATGAGTACTACTTTATTTCAGAATGAGTACTACCGGGATGTACATATTTCTAGGTACATCCGGATGTACCATATACCAACTCATCAAACTACCCCATTATATATACTATTATAATCGAATCAATAACACTAAAAAAATATCACAGAATGACTCAAGATGCTATGGTGTCTCATTTATAGAACTGACGGCCTACCTCAAGTCCTCGACTAACTCTCCCACCCGCCCCAATCCAAACGTACCCCCACTTCCCTTCAATTTCACGCTAAATTTATTTGTCTTTAGAATAAAAGTTTGACTTCAAAGTCAAATAAAATTACGATTTTCAATTGAAGGGAATGGTAGTGTGGGTTCAGGTCAGCATGGGTGGGGGGTTTGATAAGATAGGAATTGCCAATTTTAAAAAGGGATCACCGTAGGAGCTCCAATTTGGGCCATGTTACCGGGTTTCAATATTATACTCCGTATATAGGAATTCCTCTATTTTTTGGTGTGTTATTTTAGGTGGTGGCAGTTGAAAAGAAGAAGAATACAAGGGTACCCATAATGGGCAGTGTAAAAAATGATAGTGTACACGGAGTATTTTCTTTTACATTTTCAATACTCCGTCCAGAGGCGGACCCCCGTTGAGTCCCACGGGGTCCCAGGACCCCATGGACCTCCACGTAGGATCTTATATATGTTAGGTACCCTGATTTTATTAGTATATTAACATAAAATCCTGGGCATAAACGACTCACGAAGTGGTGCAGCGAAAGCACGACTGATGTTTGAGAGGTGAAATCCAGGGTTCTAATCTGTACCCCTATATATTTGTATGGTTTTTATGGACCTTAAATTTATCATCTGAAGTACTCTAAAAAAACATTTTTAATGCAATATATTTTATTATATTTTTTGAGGTAGTAATTTTTTGTATTAATACCTATTAGTACATTAGGCATTCAATTTAAATGACTACTCTCTGCGTCCCAGTGTATTTGTTTAATTTGACTTTTCAAGTCAAACAGTATAAACTTTGAATTTCAATTATTTTCAAACGGTAATGTATTTTAACATAAAAATAGTTTAATTAGATTTATTTTATCAAGAATTTTCAAGATTGTATTTCATTATACTAATATGAAAAGCTAAGTGAGAGTAATTGAATATTAAAGTTTGTCCATTTTGAATCAAAAAAAAATCAAACTTGACAAATACAATGAAATAGAGGTAGTATTAAATAATTATTAAAGTTCTTTCAATTTGATAATTAAACTACCCAAATGCACGTGGTATTTAAATTTGTTTAGTATAATTCATTTATGAGTGCTTTCAAAATTTAGTGGAGTTGAAAATGAAGTGAGAACCTCCAATCTACTAAAATCACGTCTATCCTCATACTTTAGTACCAAACAAGAAATACAATGTTGATCTCATTCCTCATTGTTATTAAAAAAAATATAAAAAATATACTTCAATTCACTTTATTTGAAGATTGATACATGAATAAAAAATAAAACTAACATATTTAAATAAAATACTTTCACCTACACCGCATGTTCGTGAACCGTTCATAGGCATTCACTCCTTCGGTATCAAAGGTGGCGTACATTAAAAAAAATCATTTTTCATACAATAGCTTTGGTTTTGAAAAACGGGAATGGAGCTTGATTTAAAAGATATGGAGTAATAATAACATCTGTCTAGGTAGGTTAGGCAGCACAAGGCCCAATCGGCAAAGCATGTATGATTTTGGTTTCTTATTATTAAGCCACAGTTTGGCACAACACTTGTCAAGTTGGTAAGAAAGAGTATCCTAGCAACAAAGAGCACTTCATGCCTCAGCTGTCCTGTAAAAGATTCAATCTTTATGGGGATGGGAACCGAGGTTGAGGTATTTGGCAACACGCTCTGCCTTAGCTCCCGATTTGTGATCATAGTACTCAACAACGGCAGCCCCAGCGAGAGCAGCGAGTGTTAGTGCTTGAGCATGCAACCTGATCCAACAAGCAACAAATGCCATTCTATTTATGAGCGAGGATACAATGTATCAACCACTGGTCCACTGCTAAGCTAGCATGTTTACGGTGGGGAAGGGGGGAAATATGCTACTAGTGTTGTCAAAGGACAACAACTCAACAAGCAAGTAATTGTCATTTAAAAGATCTTTCACGTGCCTACATTTAAGTTCTGGGGTGAAGGCAAATAAATTTTCTCTTGCGCCTATGAATGAAGGCTGAGAGTTCAATTTGTACTTTGTAATGTAAGCATAAGAGCCAACCACACAAGGTTCATGGTTACTTAATGCATACTAATCCCTGTGTGGATCCATCCCCATATTATATCGTCTTTGCTTTTGACACATTTGTCAAGAAAAATGAAATTGATTGGTAGATTTTTACTCCATCCGTCCAGATTCAGTTGTGCACTTGTTTTCGCTTGCCCGAAATCAGTTTTCTACTTTCCATACTCAATATGTGTGAAGGACGAACTCATTTGAAGGAATCATTTGATAATTGATATTTTAAACTAATTCCTTAGTAGGAATTTTTTAAAAACTAAATCCAGACAGGAGTATTTGCACTATTTAGATAGAAACCACACAATTATTTCCTTGAAGTGAATAAGACATAAATATTGGGAGTGCAGAAATGCAAAAACAAAACAAGATTTTGATAAATATGTAGATCCCTCGCTTGAACAAGCAGGAAGCTTTCTTTATAGTAACACAATTTTACATATTTGGTTGGAAAAAGTTTAAGAAGAAAGACTTCAATATCCACCGTTGCTAGTTTGGTTCCGAGGTAAGAGAGGGAGGGGTGATATTTATAGTAGTACGAATATTTGAAGAATGTAAACATAACAGTGAAGTGTTCATCCAACTGAGAAAAACATGAATGCTTCATTGCCTATTTGAAGAAGAGACCCGAAACGTACTCCTGAATGGAGTGAATGCTGAACGTTGAAGGGTATCCAAGTCCACCGTTTTGTTTATATATTGGAGATGATGTGCTTTCCATTATAGAAATATTTACACATTTACTACTCTAATTTCCATTAGAAAATGAGAAAAGTTAAAGAGAATGGGCTGGAAAGGAGAGACATACCTTGATTGAATGATCTTAACGCTGGTTTTCATATTGGGTTGTGACCAATTGTAAGCAATGGAACCCGCTATTCCACTTAACCATAAACAACCTTCAACCACAAGCGATTCAATCAATAAACTAACATAAAAGAACAAAAAAATCATTTCAATCAACGAACGCAGGTAGAATCGAAACAACCAGAAGAAAAAACCTTGGAACGGTGTTATAGATACACATCTGCGTGCTTATCGAATTGGAGAACATTACCGACGGTTCGAAGCTTGTGCTCAATGTTGGGACTGCGCGTGCCCTCACCCCAACCCCGCATTAGTATGAGCCAAGCCCTCACGAATTTATTTTTGGACACCTCCCAAAAGGCCTCATACTAATGGGGTTGGGTGAACCTATATATATTTTGGTCCATTTTTTCTTCTCCCTCCGGTGTGGGACTTGGAGGAATCCCCAACACTCAACGACCCATTCCCTGAGAGATTCAATGGTGCTCTTCTGCTCCGCCATTCCCGTTCCTTTTATGCTTTAGCCTTCCCCCTTTTATTGTTGGATGTTAAGAAATAACACTTCGTAATCAATTGATCGATTTCTGAAAAGCGTATTTATATATCTGGAAGAGAAGATGAGATCGCAGAAGAGACGCAATTCTAGTTCTCGCTCTTTCCTCGTCCGACTGACCACCGCTTCTCTTTTTTACTCCGTATCTGTTTAGGTTATAAGTTGCAACTATGGGCTGGCGGGCGGTGGCAAATAGAGAAGAGCAAAAGCACGAGCTCGGACTTTGACGGGTCTTTTGAAAAAATCCAACACTATTAGCTGCTGATATTAATTTTTGAGTAATATTAAAGTCACAAATAATTTAGATATAAATTAAACAAATTTTTTAATTATGTATTTAAAGAGAAAACAAATATAACCATATGTTACACTACCGGGGGATACAAATATCGGGCTAGAGTTGGAAGATGTTCGGGACGAAGATGCAAGTGTTCGGGCCGAGAGTGAACGTGAAGAAAGCATTGGGCCAAGGCGTTCTAAACGGATCCCCAAACCCCCGACAAAATTAAATGATTACCTTTATTAAATTATTCATTGTATTTTAGATTTTTATTAGGTGAGCAAAATATAAGCTCATTCGAGGGTTTCTTTACGGTTCTTTACCTCGTCGCTTTTTCTTGAACCGTCAGGATAGATAACGTAGTATTTTAGGGTTAGGGTTTTACTCTATAATTATAAATAGAGATGTAAGCCTCCTTCTCAATCATGAAGAAATAAACACATCTCTAAAACCCTATTTCTGTGCTTGCTTCCTTCTTTAAGACGGCGTTCAGAACACACGAGGGCCACTACGAATTTCTGGTTATGCCGTTTGGCCTCACCAACGCTCCGTCTACTTTCCAAGAGGCAATGAACCATGTGTTTGCTCCCTATCTTCGTCGGTTTGTCATCGTGTTCTTTGATGATATTTTGGTTTACAGCCCCACGTTGGACCTCCATGCCTCTCACTTAAATTTGGTTTTAGGTATTTAGGCTACTAATCACTTCTTTGTTAAATTGAGTAAATGTAGTTTTGCCCAGGAAAAGATGGACTACCTCGGTCATTGGATCTCGGAGGGAACATTGAAGGCCGACCCCGCCAAGCTGGAAGCCATGGCTTCCTGGCCAACCCCAAAAACGGTGAAACAACTCCGTGGATTCCTCGGTTTAATAGGTTACTACCGCCGTTTTATTCGCGGGTATGCTACCTTGGCGGCACCTTTGTCCGAGCTATTAAAAAAGGATGGATTTCAATGGTCAGAGGGTGCGACAGAAGCGGCTCAAAACTATGATGCTGCAGCCGCCAGTTTTGCAGCTTCCGGAGTTCACTGAAATTTTTGTTTTGGAGACCGATGCCTCCGACGCCGGCGCGGATGCGGTGTTGCTACAGGACGATCATCCCATTGCATACTTTAGCAAGAAATTTGGTCTACGGCGTCGGCTTGCCTCTACTTATCATAAGGAGTTGTATGCCATATTGCCATCGTGGAAGCGGTGCAGAAATGGCGACAATATTTGTTGGGTCGGGAATTCATAATTCGGACGTATCAACGCAGTCTTAAGGAACTTTTGTTTCAAGTAGTACAAACCCCGGGCCAACAATTCTATATTCGTAAGCTCATGGGATATAAGTTTCGCATCTAGTATAAGTCCGGGGCGTCTAATAGGGTGGCCGATGCCCTTTCACGTCGCGAGGAGTCAGATGATATCGCGGCTCTCTTCGCCCTCTATGCTCAGCCACTGCCCCAACTTCTTGATAGGGTGCGGTCAGAAAACTCTTCCATGCCGGATTTGGTTACCCTTCACACGGCCGCGACTAGCGGAACACTCAGCGCCCCCTATTCGGTGCATAACAATATTCTTTACTATCATCATCGCGTGTGTTTAAGTGCCACCTCAACCCTCAAGGGCGAGATTTTACAGGAATTCCACTCCTCACCAAGCGTGGGACATCCGGGGATTGAACGCACTTTTCGCCGCGTGGCGACTGTTTTCTTTTGGCCCCATATGCGCCGAGATATCGCAGCTTTTGTGGCCTCGTGTCTCACATGTCAGGCAACCAAATACTCAACTCTAAAACCAGGGGGTCTGTTGCAACCCTTACCGGTTCCCGGTCGTGTTTGAGACGACGTGACGATGGATTTCATAGTGGGCTTGCCGCCGTCAAAAGGGATGACGTCGATCATGGTGGTTGTGGACAGATTGACGAAATACGGCCATTTTGGGCCACTGCCGACCTCCTTTGATGCCGCCAAGGCTGCTTCCTTGTTCGTCGAGATTGTGGTTCGTCACCACGGGTTTCCAGCATCCATTGTCTCCGATAGGGATCCCATTTTCATCAGCAATTTTTGGACAGAACTCTTTCGGCTGAGTGGCACAACTTTTAAACGCAGCACGACATACCATCCTCAATCTGACGGTCAGACGGAGGTTTGTAACCGGGATCTGGAGCAGTACTTGCGGGCCTACTGCCATGAGCATCCGTCGACGTGGGTGTCCTTCCTTCCGTGGGCAGAATTGGCGTTGAATTCCACTTATCACGCGGGGCTGAAAACATCACCGTTCAAGGCTTTATATGGCCGCGATCCTCCACCTTTGCTCTCACATACGACGGGCAGTAGTCGTGTCCCAAGTGTCGAGGCCTTACTTCAAGAGCGGGGGGCAGTGATTCGGTTATTGCGGAAGAATCTCATCAGCATGCAGCGGTGGATGGTTGCCACGGCCAATAAACATCGACGTCACGTTGAATTTCAAGTGGGGGATCATGTGTTGCTCAAGCTCCAACCGCACAGGCAGTTTTCGGTGGCGAAACCGCGATCGGCCAAACTTGCACGCCGTTTTTACGGCCCCTTTGAGGTACTGGCCAGGGTGGGGCATGTGGCATATCAGCTGAAGCTGCCGGACGAGGCCCGTATTCATAACGTTTTTCACGTCTCTCTCCTTCGGCCATTTGTGGGAGGTTCTGCCACTCCACCGATCACTGTTTTTCCCATGGAATTTTGCAATGGTGCTCCGGTGTCTGTTCCAGTTCGTGCTATTGGGTCTCGCCGGGTGCTTGTGCATGGCGAACCGCAAGACCAATGGTTGGTCGTCTGGTCTCACGGTGGGGAGAGCGACGCCACGTGGGAACCAGTGACGCACCTCCGGCAGGTTTATCCGACGCTAGTCCTTGAGGACAAGGACGTTCTTCATGGGGGGAATAATGTTACACTACCGGGGGATACAAATATTGGGCCAGAGTTGGAAGATGTTCGGGATGAAGATGTAAGTGTTCGGGCCGAGAGTGAACGTGAAGAAAGCATTGGGCCAAGGCGTTCTAAACGGATCCCCAAACCCCCGACAAAATTAAATGATTACCTTTATTAAATTATTCATTGTATTTTAGATTTTTATTAGGTGAGCAAAATATAAGCTCCTTCGAGGGTTTCTTTACGGTTCTTTACCTCGTCGCTTTTTCTTGAACCGTCAGGATAGATAACGTAGTATTTTAGGGTTAGGGTTTTACTCTATAATTATAAATAGAGATGTAAGCCTCCTTCTCAATCATGAAGAAATAAACACATCTCTAAAACCCTATTTCTGTGCTTGCTTCCTTCGGCTGTACGGCCTTCTTCTACTCTCAACTCCATCTTCTCCTTCTATTCCTATTCTTACCCTAGTCTCGCTCTATCACCATAGGTCTGATCTACTACGATTGATAGTTCGATCTGATCTGGTCCCTAGTCTCAATATATAAATAATTTATTTTGATCAAATCCAATGATTTTTTTTAAGGTCGATCTAAAGAAAACAAAATTTACTTGTCATGAATTTATAGTGTTTGAAACTTGTAGAGTAACAGTAATCCCTACATAATAAGAGGGTATAGTTGTACTTATAAAGACACAAGTAAACATATGTTTTCGAAATTTTGAATAATGAAGTGTACTAATCTTTTAGGGATAGAGGAATACTTTTTAACACTAATGAGTTACTCCGTATTTATTACAAGTCTATATTATTTTATTCAAAGTTTATGCTTGTCACATTCTATCCCACACCTCTAAAAAATGTTTAATAGCATCAGGAGTAGTTTAATAGAACCAATACTTAATAAGTTTGTATATTTTTTAAATTTTTAAAAGTGCTATGTACATAATAAGTACGGCCCCCTTCTTTTGACAAAAAAGAAGGGGTGTCATATTATGACAAAAATCCTACGGGTAATAATTATTACCTTTGTTTCTGAGTATTTGTCCAATTTTGACTTTTTTGGTCAATTGTTTTCAACATTTGATCTATAATTAAATAATATATATTGTATGTTAAGTAGATAAAATAATATTTTGAAAATATTTGATGTAATAAATCTAATAAAGCTATTTTGTATTGATATCTAATATCATTTTTATTTAATTAGAGATCAAAGTTTACCAATTTTGACCAAAAAGAGTTAAAAGTGGACATATATTCAGAAAGAAAGGGACATATATTTGGGACTACCGGTCCCAGACTAGACTAATCTCGAGGACTATTTTGGTCTCAATATTTCCAGTTCAAATTTTGATCACTCCCGGTCAATCTTTTTGGTCACGATCTTTTTGCTATTCTCTAGTGGCAAAGAATTAGTATTTTATGCACAGAGAGAGTATTAAATATGACTAAAAGATACTCCACATGTTAAAATACATTTTTTTAATATTTTTATACTAAGATATGACTTACAATATTAATAATGCAATTGTATAGGAAGAGACGCTTCTCTATACTAGTGCTTATTAATTTATTGTTAAATATTTTTATGTGGAGGTAAAATGATTTAAATGATAAACAAGTCATTCGGAGATGTTCATAAATGGAAAATTTAATTTTCATAAATAATTTTGTCAAAACGGAAAAACGAAAAATTTAATTTAAAAATAAGTAGGTAAGATATATTTATTTTTAAGAATAAATAGAGAAACGCTAACACAATATCAAATTATCAAAAAAATAGGAATGGTAATACTCCGTATTTCTTTTTGTAATATGGGCCTTTAGCCTAGGGTCGGACCTGGTTAATTTGTTGTTGTTTAGAATTTTGGACGGGTTCCAAAGATCTGGACGCAATCTGTTCAAGGCAATCATCAAATTCCAGCATTCCACCGAGAGGCAGAGAAGAAGGTGAAGAATCAATCAAAGATGATACACCGAAAGTGGAGCCTGTTAACGGGACCAACAGCGGTCATCGGAGCGGTCGTCGGCGTTATCGTCGTCTCCCACTTTATCTTCGTCCAGAATGTAACTTTCTTTTTCTCGATTCACAATCTTTTTTCTACAACTTTCTGCATTCATAATATAAGCATATCTATATGATCTGAGTCGCATATAGGAATCGATTAGCCTACTCAGTTCTGAAATCAACTTTATTTGTTTGATCGATGAACTAGAGGGGTAGAAGCGCTACTTTATTGTTTCCATTAATAGGCCAATATCTTATAGGAAAATTCGCTGCTTAATTTAATTGTATGGTGCTTGATTTTGATTAGCATCATATTTCTTTGTTTAAGCAGTTTACTTGTTAGCCTTATTTGAGTATACTTGTTTAAAGCCATTAATGGCGCTATATTCCCAATAGNCCCCCCCCCCCCCCCACACACACACACAAATTCTCTTTGTTTGATAAGGCTGTCATTGATTCTTGTATTTTAGTTCATGTTTTTGTATGGAAGTATGTTAATTCTTAGTACGGAATATAACCTTTTTAAAATTTATATAAATATGATTAAAAATATAAATCTTGACATAAATCAAAACCAATCGTACCTGGTATATGAGTATATTCCACTAAGAAGTAAGGTCTCGAGGGTAAGACATACGTACACCCTCGTACCTTACATCTACCCAAGGAAAAGCAATGTTGTTTTCAGGAGGACCCCAACAATCAGTAACACGTAGACATGTAGTGGATGTAGTTAATATAAAAAAATTACTGCCTTTTAGGAGACATCTTCAATACAACCCTTATACTCGTACACGCTCTCTACTACAAATCTACAACCTATGAGATGTTTCTAGTAACTCATTTCACAGGTCATTTAAGGCCATCAAGTTCAACCAATATGGTCACCACTCTCTTGACTGATGTTGTATCTCTATGGTGAATGTACAAAACAGTTTCAGTTGGCATATTCTTACTTTATCAACAATAAGCCGACCACATACGGTATTTTGTCAATCATGATACAAGAGCATGAGTGTACAATCATAGGTCCACCACAGAATCATCATTATTGTCACGTATAGCTTGCACTCAAAAGCCTTCTCTTTTGACTAAAAATGTGGCACATACCTATTAGAAAGATGAATGGCTAGTGTGTAGAATTCGCCCTTCAGTTTCAACATGACCTTGTCAGATAGCACATCCATTTTAACCTTTTATACATGTGTGACGTCGTCCTTGATATATTTTCCCTTTGTTTGGAGTTAGTTGACCCCATCTTTGTTTTTGCTTGTCTAATTGTCCACTTTCCATATTCAATAAAGAAATTAAGATGACTTGTCTAAAATATCAAGGCTATAGGGTGCAAGCATTGTTGACATGAATGAGTGACTAAGTCATTTGAAGGACTTATTTGACATTTTAAGCTTATTTCTTAAAATATATTTTTTTAGAAATTAGACAAGTAATAATATCTTATATTTGATTTTTTTACGGAGGGCGTATCTTCTTTTGAATGATTGATCCCATATGCATGGAATCTCTTTGAGGTATCCTTTGATCACCTACCCCTTATTCCATTTCTTGCTAAAGTTGCATGTGACATATTTAGTCTTAGAGCGGCTAATAACATAAATCATAGCTATCAATGCAATAATACTGCAATGCATATGACATATTTAGTCTTAGAGCGGCTAATTATGTTTTACAAGATTCAGGTTCACCCCTTCCCTCATCATAGCTATCAATGCAATAATACTGCAATGTCATTCACAAATAGCAAACACACAACACGTACATGGATCCCTTGAAAACAAATATGCAAAATTACGACAAAAAGTGGGCTCAAACAAGATAATGTAATCACACTTCCACTAGGAAAAAATTTCTCTACTTAAAGGGATTCTCAAACAAGTTCAAAATCATGCATACCTATCTTGTATCTCCCTCATGTACAATTGTGGCAGCCATCTAACCTCTGATCTCTTTCAAATTATTTCATGTTTGACATTATCATAGGCTTCTCGAAGTCTACACTTACCACATGCATGTTGATAGGTTCCAGGCTGATTGGTTAAGTCATATTATAGTATTTAAGTAATTAGCACTATTAAATTGTTTGTTGTGTCTTTTTATTTATCATTTTTATCATTTAATCATTATTTTATATTTAATCCCACTTAGTAGAAAGTGAGGAGTCAGTTACGCCCACTTAGTTAGTGGGAGTTTATGAGTATGATATTACTAGTAGAAGTTAGAGTCTCTTGGTATACATAGACATATAGTCACATGTATTGATGATGGAAGATTGCACAGTAATTTATTATTAGAGATTTTCCCTGGCTTTATTACTTATATGAGTTTAAGATACTCATATTTTGATAAAGATTTTTCTTTTATTATTTTATGAAGTTAGATGGTGATTTTATAATTTAATAAAAACTTCTCTTCATTTACTTTCCTGGCCAATCTTGAGTTTTATCATTTGGTAAATGATAGAAAGGAAGAGAAATAAATAAAGGAAAGTCAGAATCCAACTCCATAAAATAATAAATATGAATGAAACTCTTTATCAAAATATGAGCAAGAATCTTAAACCCATATAAGTAATAAAGCCAAGGAGAATCTCCAATAATAAAATTTGATTTCTTTCTGGATAACATTTACACATAATGAGCCTCAATATTTATAGAAGCCAAATAACTACCAATTCCTAGAATTTTGGCCCACTACGACATGACCTAGTAACTACTCCTAGACTTTAGGCTCACTACCACATTACTTAGTTGCTACTAGAATTTAGGCCCACTTACACATTATTAACTAATTAGTAACTAACGTTTATAAAATAATTTATTTGACCCGTTAAACAAATGACTTTGATTCTATTATAGATATTAATAACATAAAATAACTGCATATGCGGCACTCTATCACATGTTGGAACAATGCTTCCTATACTTCACCTCAATCATGGACCTTGAGTTGAAAGTGATGTTGAATCCAAATTTCTTTTCACTCATTTCTGTCTCGATGTTGCACTCTAGGTCCAATCACTGTCTCCCACATTTCCATAGTGTACTTGATTAGCTTAATTTTTTTATAGTTATCACAATCTTAGTTTTAATAGTCACACTGAGTCGTTTTGGTCTAAATATCCTAAACATGATGCCGAGGCACGCTACACAGTTTCTAGGTGCACATATTGGAAAAAATTCAAGTATATGGCTAGTGCACATATCATGAAACAATTTAGAAGCAATAATATAATATTATACTCCATAAAGTTCAAAGACAAAATGTGACAACCAACCAAAAATGCATAGTTCAGTCCCTAAAAGAATGCATATTCAAATGCAACAACTAAAATAGTTGTAGAGAAAAGTATTATTAAAAAAATATGGCAGATAAAAAGTAAAACAATTCAAGCAGGGTTTACTGAAATAATTGCAAGCAGGGTTTACTGAAAAACTAAAACAGCAGCTGAAAGAACTTAATGAACCAGAAAGACATAAAAACAGCAGCAGAAAAGAAAAAATAGTTCTGGATGAAAAGATGTAAAACAGTTCAAGCAGGGTTTACTGAAAAAGTTGCAATACCAAAATACACAAAACAACGTAAAGAATCAGAGGCTGATGTATAAGAAAGTGGATCCATGAAGATTAAGAACTTAAGTAGGAAGAAAGTGAATCAGAATCGGTCTAGTTACACCTTAGCTCTTATTTAGTGGCACCGCAATGTTGAGGTTGAGCCCCCACTTCTTAGGCATCTAACTTCTTGATAGATTGAGGATGATGAGGCCAACTTCATCACCCCAACATCATTAATTTTTAAATTACTTAAGAAATTATTTTTCTCATCTCTCATTCTCTCCTCACTGTCATCGGTCTTCACCAAATATAAATGTAAATGTACATATAGAGACATATATTGGTACATATATAAATACAAAAATAAATGTGTGCATATGTATGATTTACACACACACACACATTATATATATATATATATATATATATATATATATATCAATTGTCTAAACACGTTATCACCGTATTGTACCCTTTTGATCTTTCTATACTAGAATTGGTTCAGAACATAAGGTTATCCAAATACCCAGATGCGATTCTCTATTTCAGATCAAAAGTAATGTCAATCACTCAAAAACAGTCACTTTCTTATACAATTGAAATTTCTGGTCCTGAAAGAATTAGCATCACCCTCAATGCCCAACACCTCAAAATGAACTGATAGTTTATTAATTTGAATTTTTATTTTCTGGAACTCTAAAACATGTTTAGGAAATGCTTATTTTTGTTTTCTGTGTTTCAGTTAACATTTTCTTCTTTCTGTTTTATGCATTCTAGTTTTTATTCTATTTTTTGTTTTGTTTTTCTGTTTTCTAATTTGAAAAGATATAACCCAACTCATATTTCAAATAATACACACAGTAGTGTTGAGATCACTTGCGATGACTGGTGAATGCACCTGTTAAAGGCAACAGTAGCGGTAAGTAGAAATAGTTGGCGGTGGCAGCGGTCAATGGCTGCACCCTGGTCACTTTTGATTGTCGACCTCAACAATGCTGGCTAGCAGCGATGGAGGAGGCGTCAACAATGAGCGCTGCTGGAGGAGGTGCCAACGACGGGTATGATAATTAGTGGTGGTGATAGTTATCAGCAATATTGATGTTTGCCAGTTTTAATGATGTCGATAGTTGTTAGTGGTGAAGCCACTTTCTATTTTTTAAATTTAAATCACGTTGGAGAACACTTAAGTTTTCCAAAATAGAAAACAATAATTCCAAAGTTAAAACCAATGACCAATGGTAGCTATGATAATCTACATACATGGTGCACAACCAACATTATAACTTGTGACCTTCCACAGCCACAAGCATTGATTCACACCCCTCGCCCACCCCTAGTGAGTCATGTCAACAATACCAGAATCTCTACCACGAACTATTTACATTGCTATAGCTAGTAACTACATATATGGTTGATAAGTACTGTCATTGAGGCACCAAAATGAATGCTACAATGTTGTCAACCCTTGATATGGTTAATGGAAACAGTTGAAAAAACAGAAAACTGGAAAACATAAAACAGTATGGAGAAGTACAATCAAAAGCAAATGGACCTATTAATGTTTCTGTTCTACGCATGATGGTGATGACTATTATTACAACAAAAAATCCAGTAAAATCCCCTGAGTGAGATCTCGAGAGGGTGTGTATGCAAACCTTGCCCCTACTTGGAAAGTAGAGAGCTTGTTTACCATAGACCTATTGCTCACAAGATTTTTTATTATTATTATTATTATTATTATTATTATTATTATTATTATTATTATTATTATTATTATTATCCCTCATTTTTTCTCTCTTTAACCATTCTTCAATCTAAGGGTTAATAATACATGATGTCCAGATCTTGAGAAGTTACATCTCCAGATCTCCTGCAAAGTTGCTTTTATTTTCACTCATTCACTCTTCATATTTGCACCTTGACAAAATGACACTTGAGCATCATGCAGTTTTGGTGTACGAACACGGACCACATAGGTTTATTGACACATTAACACTGGATGGTTACCATTTCATCTTATTTTGTACTGCTTTGGTTCAATGTTGTTGAATAGTTTTTGCTGACCCAGTGTGTATGGAGGAGTGCATGAAGAAGACTGATGTTGTTCTATTTGTCAAAATTTACAGGGTCCATCCCACAAGCCAAAGCCACCACAAAACTCAGAGGCAATGCGTCTAAGCAAGTAGGCAAACAGAGCCAGGAGACATTTAATATGGGCTTTTATATGATCTTGTCGCTATTTTGAAGTTTTATTGATGTTGTGTTTTGTCTGCAGCACAGACCTCTGCATTGAACTTGTGCTTTAATGCTTCATCACTCAACAACAACAACAACAACAATAATAATGACTTGAAATTTGAGTGAAAATGAGTTTATAATTGATTCATTGCACACTTCATGTTTTTGCCTGCTCTCACTTGGCATGACCAATAAAATAGTGAAACACACTGGTCGCAGATTTATTATTTATATACCTACCAAAGTTGTTTTGATTTTAACATTCAAAGATTTTCCTCTCCCTCTGTCTTTTCCTTGCTACAAATCTCACAAATGCATACCCCAGTGTTTATGATTTCTTTGGTTAAGAAGTTACAAAATACAGTGGATGAGTGCCACTACCAATGAGTTAATGAAACTAACCCATCCATCTTCTCTGTACCAGAAGACATGCAAATACAATGTGATCTCGTTTTAATGGACTTGCCAATGTAAAATACTCCGTATCTTGAGATTATTTGGTCAAATCTTTTTTAATTTGTTCTTTTTTTTGTCTTGCACTATATGATCATTAACCTCCAATGGTAGATGCTATGAGCCAGTGGCATATTTCTTTATACCTTCAAATCAAGTCAAAGAAGGGAAACCATTGAGAAAGCACTTGCACATAAAGTTATTCTAGTTTCAAGTAAAACAGTAGACCAAGATTGTGTGCGTCTTGATTTCTAGAGTACATATGATGAAAATGTATTTTCTTGTTGAATATATCTTTGTAGCCTTTCATGTGTGGTTTCAAGGCTTCAAGACACTAGTATTTTGCAAGAGAGTGCTACCAAACAATATCCATGCTCTCTAGAATAACCCGAGATACAAGTCCATGTTCAAAAGGCACCGCATGCAAAACAAGATCGAATTGAGAAGTGGTAATATGAGCACAACAAATCACAAGGAATATGTGAAGAGTCCAATACTTACCTATCAAACATGATGATGATGATGCATGCATGCATAGCGACAAGTTTGGTCTAACTTTTACTCAAAAAGAGTCACTAGTGCATGGTTAGCTTTGACTCGTCCAAAGTTAGTTTTAATTAATACGAGTAACCCACATGTAAAGAAGCTCGGGATTGAGATGGAGTGACTACACTCTTACATGTGATAAATAAAAAGAGAATTTATCAATGCCTGATTTTAACAAAGTAGAGAGTTCGAATTGGTGTTGAGTTAACTACATATAGCAAAGTTGTATTTAAGTTAACAAGATCCAAGAAATATATAGATCCCATAGCTTTGCTTCATCCTTTACATAGATGCATATTAGTAATGTACAATGTTTGTGCGTGTCCATACACAAACATTAGGTAAGGGTGAGAGCAAAATAGCTGAAGTGTACCATATCCTAATTCAACCCACATACCATCACATCCCTAGAGGTTGTTATTTACAGCATAAGGAAATGCAAATAGAGCTCTTTGCTTTGGGTTTCCCTTCCACATTTTTGGTTGGTAATATGGAACTCGGACTTCCAATGCTTTCTTCTCCCCTAGAGATGCATTTCAATCTTCGGGGTAGATATTGATCAACACACAAGGAGAGATACAAGGAATAACATTCCATAAGACAAATTTATTGTTCTTGGTCGCCAAAGTGTAAATATTGTACATAGATCCGATGCACAAAAGATCACACAATAAGGTCTCTATTCGTTTTCACAATAATAATAGTAATATGGAATAGCATCATAATTGCAAATAAAAAACAGAGGGTAAGTGCAAATTTTAGATCTTGTCAATATCTTCATCCTCAAATTGAATGTAATCTTCAACTTCTTCAGTGTCTTCTTCTCCAGCACCCGCAATGCCTTCATTCACCCTAATATTCTCAGGCAACTCGCCATATGCCTTCAGTAACCTGGCCTCATCTGACATGTACTTGAGAATCACATCAGCCTTATCATCCTGCACATATTACACCCAATATTAACAAATGGTCGGAATACTTTCTTATGTTTGGTTTTACATTGACAAATGTGAAGGAAAACAGAATATGGCTGGGTTTTTATAACTTTAAAATATAGTTAGACTTATTAGTCTCAAATAAATAAATTATCAACGAGAATAATAACAATAACCTAAACCCGGCTTGTATGATCCCACAAGTAAAGATGATGCTTCCAAATGCTAAGGAACAAAAGAAGAAACAAACAAAAGGAACATGGACAAATGTATAAATAGTAAAAGTATCAACAAAGAATGCATTCATAGTTGATTAATCTGTCTTCAAGCTATAGAAAACTGTGCGTAATATAAAGAATGCAGCTCATACTAAGAAAATGATATCATTTTGAGCAGTGGCTCGCCAAACTAGCAGGGGCAGATCCAAAATTAAAATCAAACTATTTGGAGCTCTTGACAAAAAGAGGGGAACTCAAAAGGATATGAACTTAAGTCTATTACAAATACGAATATCATTTCAACTAGCTAAACTAGTTTCTAAATTCTACTTATGTCCAACATGCTTTGTATGCACAACCTTCACATCTTTCTAGTATAGGTTTTCCCTCCCCCGGGGAAATTGGTAGCATTCTGTACCACTATTGAATTAGACTAGGGAGTTACAATTCAGCAATACAAAGGAAACCAAAAGTGTATCACTTAGTACATAGACAATTGAGGTAGATGCATACGAGTCACACGTACCAGCTAAAACCCTAACCCAATTTTTTATAATAAAAAAATGGATAAATCATTCCCATACACACTCCAATAATACTTTTTGGGGAAAAATCAATTACACCACATTTGCCCAGCCTGTGTACAGACTTCAAACAACAAATACACACAAGCAAACAGTAGTTGTGTTTTAATACAGCTTTTTTTGTTTACTCTTATAGTAGATCAGCATATGCATATCATTTTAAACTATGATTTTTCACCCTTGAATGCAAACAGGATATGCATATAATATGCATATCATTTTGAACCCTTGATTTTCTAATTTCGTGGCAAACAGGAAAAGAATCAACAGTAGCCTTACAATTTATACAGCGGCTGAATGCAGATAAAAGATCAATTATTTCCGACGCATGAAAAAGGGCTGAGATCAGAAATCAAAGCAGCGGAATTAATAAAGATTGAAGCTTGCCTGATAATCGCGGAGGCCAACGAGGATGATGTCTCCGGCGGCGATCCAGACCTTCTTGTGCATCTTACCACGGATGTGACAGAGACGCTTGGTGCCATCGATGCACATGGCCTCACAGCGGCCGTTTCCGAGCATACGCAAAACCTGAGCGTACTCCTGGCCGTCCTCTTTGAACACAAGCTCCCTTTTCTCGTCGTCCGCCTCGTTCTTTCCCCTCTTCCTGTTCTTACCTCCTTTTCCCTTGTTCTTCGGCATGACGGCTTCTGATCCTACGAAACCCCAACCCTAATTCGATGGCAAGTGCAGGTGAGATCGAAATCGGAAAACAAAGGACAAACCCTAGGTTAGAGAAGCGATATCAGATCTTGATATGAAAGAGCTTTCTAGACTTTATATAGTACGGACTACGCGTGTACGCCGGAATGAAGACTATTCCCTTTATCAAAAAAAATCCAATTCCTTTCGAATGAGTCTTTTTTTTTTTTTAATTAATCTTCAATACGAGTAACTTTTAATCATGTGCATCATACTTTAGAGGCCGGTTCCAATGACATTGGGAACATGACATTGGTTTCCAATGTCAAACCAATGTCATGGGATGACTCGGAAATGCTTCGGTACCCCGTTTGTAAAATTGACAGTTCCTCCTCCCGATAAATCCCTCACCCCATCCCGACCCGAACACACTCCCCACCCCCTTCAATTGCACTCCCCAAGTTAATTTTGTCTTTGGAGTCAAAATTAGACTCCAAAGTCAAAATTAACTTGGGGATGCAATTGAAGGGGGTGGAGGCGTGTTCGGGTCGGGGCGGCGTGGGGGGTTTACCGGGGGGTTAGGGGATGTAGGAACCGTCAATTTTACGAACGGGACACCAGAGCATCCTCGGGTCATCCCATAACATTGGTTCCCAATGTCATGGGAACCAAGGGGTACTTTACCATTAAAATTTATTTCTTAGATAATTCTTTGTAAAAAAAATATAATTTAAATAAAATTTATTCAAAGGATAGTTTGATATTTTCATTATCTAAATTTAAAATAACTTCTCAAAATATTAATTTCTATACAATTTCATGTAAAATTAAAACGACCATTGACTATACATAATTCATAATTATTTTATTTTCGAGGGAATATAATTCATAGCTATTGAAAATATATCAAAATGTTTCGAAATTTAAATCAAATACCCCCTTAATTAGAAAAGATTATTTTGAAAAATACTTCATTTGAAACAATCATTTCGAAAACTTACCTTAAGTTCATACGATAAAAAATACAAAGATACCTCTTTTTATGAATGACGGTATACTATATTCTTCAAAAAGACTAAAACATGATATTTATACCGAAATAAGTTTTGATAGTGTGAAATATTTATAGTTTGGCATTAAATATATGTTCCTTTCTCATTTTTTTATGGATATTATGTGATACTCCATTCGTCTAAATTTAAATCGTGAGTTGTTTATTTGAAAATTAGTATAGAATTAAAAATAAAATTAATGTATTTAAAAACTACTTAAAAATTTATATTCCGTATAAAATAACATTTGACAAGACTATATTATTTTATAAAATTTGTAGCGAAAATGAGTAAAGAATGTGGTTAAACATGATACGGTATGTTACGGTATTTAGCTCGTACCGATACCGTACCAAATATTTCTATTCGGTATGAGATTTTACGTCGTACCGATCCCGATCCAAAAATCTTGATTCGGATGGTTCAGTATCGATTTCGGTACAAAGCGGTATAAATATATATGTACATAGTTTATGATTTAAGATGTAACAAAACCCTTTATTTTTCTATAATAAAAAATGCATTTAAATAAAGAAACATAAAAACTAAAAAATTAATAATTAAAATCAAGAAAGGCTTATGAAATTTAGTTTATACGGAGTATTTCACAAACTAAAAAAAATGAATGATAACAAAATAGTACTCTAAATGATTGTACCCTAAATGATTGTTGATATTTTTAATTCATCAATATAAACTTAAAACTCGAATAAAAGAATAATATACAGTTAATAAAATTTGAACAAAAGTTTTAAATAAACTTATATTCAATGAATAACTATAAAAAAGAATATTGTATTTACAATATTTTAGTACGGAGTATATATCTTCTATTCGGGAATCTCAGATGAGAAATTACCTCGTGTTGTTTCCAACCGAGTCGAATGTTCTGTTCAATATGGTTTGATTTTCTCGGTTTTCTCGGGAATTTTCAGGTTCGGTTTGGTACAAGTTCACCCCTAAATGTGGTTACAATTTGACTCTGAGTAGTAAATAAACAACTTAAATTGTGTTTCAAAAAAAAAAACAACTTAAATTGGATATAAGAAATGTTATTTAGGGCCTGTTTGGGAATAGCGTTAGCGAATAGCGTTAGCGTTTTGAAAAGACTATCTACGTGCAGCGTTTAGCGTTAGCATTTTCAAAGTAATTTGCACCGTTAAAATTTTGTCCAAAACGCTAACGCTAATCTCTAACGCTATTCCCAAACAGGCCCTTAGTATTTTAAGTGTCACTTGAATATTTCTCCTTTTTTAAATACTTTTTCCTCTCATTCAGTATTGTAAGAATGTGGCGCACTCTTGAAAAGTATTTCGGACTATTTTTAATTTTCTGATTAGAACTTTTAAGTCCCACATCATGTGAAATACACTCCGTAGTATCCTCGAGTCACACATTATCCAAAGGATACTTCGTGGCTTTTAAAATTTGTAATATTATACTACGAGGACACATTTCATTTAATTAAGTGTTAAGTTTGAATGTTTTGTTATTTTGACATACGGAAAGATTTTATTAAAATGTAATACAGCAATAACTATCAAGATAAAATTTAATATTTGCCAAAATAACATAATCAATATGCCCAACCAATGTCCAATATGCCCATCCAATGTCCACCATTGTCTTGAAAAAAAGTCACATTTTAAACGTTTTTTTGGATTTAGAAGTATTATTATTATACTAAAAAGCAGCTTATTTCCATTTAACACAGCTAATAATCCGTTTTCAAGGGTATAGAAGTATTCAAGTTTTCTCTTTAAATTCTACAACACATCTCAAATTAGGCATCAACAAGTTTTTGTTACCCGAAAAAATGAAAGAAGAAATCATTCAGACTGTGATAGGATAGGATAGGACTGCTCGATTAGGCTATGAGCCATTCGGAGGCCCAGATTGTAGAGCGAGTGGGCCGGGCATCAGGGAATCTTGTCAAGAGGTCCAGCCCAATCAGCAACCCTCAGCATGTTGTGATCCAATGGACAGAAACTGAACCTCCTCTGCGTCAGCAGTCCACAGAGCAGTCCTCCGCCGCCGGCTTCGAGCACCTTCTTTCCCGTCTTCTCCGTCGATGCGAAATTGTGGTTCGACTCGTTCCCGTTGGAAGAACTAGACGAAGAAGAGAGGTCGCGTGACAGCACGGTGGATGATTTCTGGCTCCGCTTAGGCCCGGCGTCGCTCATCCGGCGGCGACGGCGGAGGAGGGCTTCCTTTCTCGCCATCAAGTCGCGGAATGAAATTGCGGACACTCCTTTCATCATCGCGCGATCGGATTTGGTAGCTCTGTAGAGAGAGACGCCGATGTTGAGGACGCCGTGGAAACTGCCAGAGGGGCGTTGTATCTGGACGGGGATGCAGGCCGGAGTCCCGGCGGATTCCTTGACAGAGTCACGGCGGCTACTGAGGACGAAACGAACGGTGCCGAGGAGAACGTCTTTGATGCAGGCGACGGAGTAGATCTCGAAGGAGACTCCAGATGTTTCACTGGAGACGAAATCAGATGAGATCCGGAAGAGAAACTTGTCGTTCCAGGTAGGGTTTTCGCCGCCGATTCGATCGAGTCCGGTTCTGAGCTTGGCGGAGGAGTCGACCCAGGCGAGAACGTAGGTCTGCATCCGGCGGAGGTTAGCGGGAGGCGCCTTCAGACCTTGAGCGGAGATCAGGTTAATCTCAAGGATGTATGTCTCCTCCTCCATTGTCGTCGTCCTCGTCTGTCTACCTCGGTCTGTTGAGAGGAATTCACAGCATTTTTCTGGGCGGCGGTAGATATAACTCAGCAGGAAATGAAAGAATCAAAGGGAATCGATGCGAAACAGAACTCAAGAAAGGGCAGAAATATATCAAGAAAGGGAAGATGGGAGCTTTGCGATGGAAGGAAAGGCTGCCCGCCCGCCCCGCTCTCTTCTCTTCTCGAAGAAGACGAGAGGAAGAGCACAGCAGCATACAAATGGTTTTGCCCAACCGCCGCCCGGCCCTTTTAACCGTCAACGATATTTTAGACGATTAGAGCATACCCTAGCATCCCTCACTAGATTTTGAAGTGTGGACTCTACTTTTAAAATGCCAATTGAGCACCTTTCTCAACATCTAAACCTTTCAATAGTGGCATCTCATATGAATGCCTCATTTTATTCAATAAATGCAGTGGGTCCATATAAATATAATTATATTTTATTTTCTTAATTATAAGTATTTATTATATGATAATTTTTTAATTAAGATTAATTATTTACTCGTTATTATTAATATTACCTTCTTCCTAGAATATATATCTAATTTTGACTTTTTACATTTAAATTAGTAAAATTTGGTCTTTAATTAAATAAAACTTATACTCCCTCCGTTCTCAAAAATACTTCCTCTTTCATTTTTTTTCACTTCCAACAAAACACTTTCACTTTCTATTAAAAACCACTTTTATCCTTACTTTTTCAGACCCAACATATCACATCATACTTTATCTCTAATAATCTATCCATCACTTCTTACTTTTACCTATCACATCAAGGGCAAAATTCGAAGTCAACTACAATTTAATACTCCGTACTTCCTTATTTTTATACAAAGTCAAAAGAGGAACACTTTTTCCAAACAGATGAAATATTAGATATTGATATAAAATTAAATTTCTTAGATTTATGTTGTAAAATATTTTAAAATGTTTTTTATGTAATTAATATATGATGTGGTTAATATTGTTTCAAAACAAACAGAAAAACAAATACCTAAGAAAATTTTCAAAATAAATAAAAAATAATCATTCCGTTAAAAAAAAGTTTGAATTCTAGAACATTGCCATATCTAATTTTTTGAAGTTGCCAAATCTAATTTAATAAAAAAACTTTCGAGCCTTCAAAAAAACTATAAATGCAAACTTTTAAATGGAAAAAATAATAAATTGACACATGGCACATACATATTGGACCACAATACTTAAAAAACAAATGCCTCAATTCTTCCATCCTCAAGCATCGGGTGCTAGGCCAAGCATCTTCCTATCATTTTTCTCTTTGAGCACCTTTATTAAGCATCTATCTACAATAGTAGCATCCATCAACATCTTACTCTCTCTCCTCCTAGCATCTCTTTTGGGTATCCCATTGGAGATGGCCTTAATTTAATTAATTGGTTCTTTCCCGTTTGACAGCTGGACCCACCCTTTTTATTTTTTTCTTTTCCCTTTTTTTTCAAATTTAAAGAGGCAAATCATTTGGTTAAATTTTGTCAATTTTAATCCCAAAGAAAGAAAAAAACAAAACAAGTATTCAAGAGTACAAAAGTATTACGAGTACAATTTACAACAAATATAATGTCAACACTCAAATATGTAGATTTTACACCAACCAACCTAAAACTATCTTTCTATTTATTATTCATTTGATCAAATTTTATCTAGTGATTTTTGTTACTTGTTTGATAAAAAAATATAATTAATTTCGTAAATGTTCTGATATAATTTTTAAAATAAATTCTATTTTTGAGTTGCACATCATTTTTCTCATAAACTGAATTAAAAATAACTTCAACCAACATTGTAAAGCACAATGAAATATTAGTTTTAAGACGATAGAGTACATTTTTAGTTTTTTACTTCGTATATTCTAATTCATTATAACTCAATCCCTCATACAAGTTATATTTGTTTTGATTTTGTGGAGGCTGTAAATTTTAAAAAACACGGGAAATTAGGAAATTGAATACAATTTGTTTGTTCATTACGATCCATTGATCCAACTTTTATTTGTGGAATTGAATTTTAGTGTACACCAAAACATGGTCTAATGTAAATTTAATAACAAACATCCTAATAAGCCAACACAAAATTGCAAAGATTTGAAGTGGTATGAAGAAAATGTCCATTCTTTTTTGTGTGTGTGCCATTGATTATGGCTATTATTGTCTCCGGCAAATAGTAACTACAGTATACGTCCATATTTACTCTCATTTTTAATAAAACTTTATATTTTGGGGGGAGACAGAACACAAATGAATGGATTTCATCCTCAACTAATGGAGAATGCACATTGGAACTCTAGCTATATTGACAAAACTTCAGATATCTTCGTTTCCATTTTTGGCTTTCTCATTTTCGGCTTCTTCTTTCGCTTAGACAATAATCTCTTCTCCAGCTGGGTGACTCTAGCAGAGAGGGCGTTTATGGCCGCCAGCTGCTCCTTTCCCGCTTCAATCAATCCCTCCATCACCTTCCTCAACTTCTCCTCCTCCTCCTCCTCCATTACTACCACCTTCCCATCCCCACCTTCTTCTTTCCTCCCATCTGTGGCCTCTGAATCTCCACACCCCTCTACCTCAATCACATTCTCATCACAGACTTCCTTTTGATCATCTTCCGGTTCTTCTTCTGCATACTCAGTAGTGGTATCAAGTATCACCTTGTTCTCCTCGACATGGTTCTCCCTCGAGCTTTCCACTGCAATCTGTTTCTCCTCTGATAAATCTTGTGGCAATCCTCCAACATCCTCCTCCACCGTTGTTGTTGCCTCCCTGCAAATTCTAGATTCTTCATTATCAAGCACCTCACAAGGTTGAGTTTGTGCTGCCACCTGCTCTACACTATTCAAAATCTTATCTTGTGCTGGGATTTCCTCAATCTCCTTCAACAAGGTAGACTCTTGCAATGGCTCTGGGAGACCATTACCGATGTCTGTCCTCTCCGCATCCCAATTGGTCGGCTCCAATATATCCTTGGCTTCTAATAATTCTTTGGAACAGGGTGGCTGAGTACCAGCAAATGCATCATCTATTTGGCCATCATTCCCTTGTCCATCATTCTCCTGCAAACTTTCCGTTGGAAATGGCAGGTCTTCACATTGCTCCATTGTGTTCGTGGGACCTTGCACGTCCATAGCATTCCCGTCTTCCTTCATAGTATCATCCGCTGCTATAGGCTGCTCAGGCTCAGGATTTGCTTCTACTTGTAAACTTCCGTTATCCAGCTTCTCCTGCAGACTTACCAGCTCTCTTGCAACCGATTTCCTAAAGTCTTTGACAATCGGGTGTAGCCCCTACAAGAGATAAAGGTTGAAATCAGTAATAAAGAAAATTCAAATAAACATACCGATGATCATTTGATTGGATGATTTAGTTCATCACAGAATAAAACAAATTGAAATGGTTCTTAGTTAACTTTAGCTTATATACCTGAATCATATCCAGCTTCAGCAGAAGGCCCATTATTTTTTCTGCAATCACATTTTTCTGCTTGTCATCCACCAGTTCGTTTGAAGAGTCATCCAAAGCCTGAATATCACTTCTTATCTCAGCCACTTTCTCTCTAATACTAACTATTTGCTTAAGCTTCTTCAGAGGCTCCCATTTACGCACTTCAAAAGCACGATATGCAGATTGGATTTTTGTGGCCGCCTCATCTTCTGAGGGTAGACTTTTGATCTGTGTTCTCATCTGACCATTTGGGTTGTCACACTCAGCATTATCCTCAGAGCAAGTTGTCTTTTCTGTCCAAGAAGGAGCTCCTTCAACTCCAAAACTGTCATTTTCGGTACAACTTTCACTTGCAGAAGAAACAGCACATCCAACATTCACATCCTTCCGTGCTTTCCCTTCAGATGTTCCTTCAACAGCCACTCCACTAGCACCATCCCGGCATTCAACATTCACATCCCTGTGTGTATTCCCTTGGGCTGTCTCTTCAACAGCCACCCCACTTGTGCCATCCCAGCCTTTGTTTTTACAAGTCTCTGCCCCATTCAAAGAGACAGGACATTTGTCTTTTGGGACAACATTTTCTTTTCCCTCAGCCCCAGAATGAGTTGGAGATCTTGAACTGCCATTGCAAACTTTTTTTCTGGGAAATGGATCAACCCTTAGACAAACAGGAGGTAGCTTAGATGTCTTTTTTGAAGTGGATGCTTTTTTAGGGTCGTCCCCATCAAGTTTTTCGTCCCTGTTGTTAGTGTTGGGCTTTGTGGAAGCATTGGTGGATTTTTTGTTAGTGTCATGCTTAGTGGGAGCAATGGTGGACTCCCCCTCAATCTTATTGGGAGTGCACTTCACATCATTGTCTTCCAATTGCTTTACTGGAATGACCTTCGGAAAAGAAACTCCTTTGTGTACCATCTTCTCACCATTTCCAGGTACCCCCTTGTTTTTCATTGAGTCTAAGGCATTATCTTCCACCTTGGATGACCCACTCTGCTTGGACTCCATGTGAGGAGCCAATTCCTTATCAGATATTTGACAAATATCAGTCCCTTGCCTTTCCATCTTTTGACTGTCCTCTGGTTGATCAGGCGTCCAAATTATTGGAAATGGAAAGCGCATGCTATTAGCATCTGGCTTATGCTGGGTTGTCAACAAGTCTTCCCCTTTCTTCAATCCATCAGCAGACCTCTTAAAGTAATTCAGAGGCAGCCAGCCATTACAAGCATCACCACACTCTTTTGTTTTCTCCCTGCAGCCATCACCACACGGAAACCACCCAACTGGATATGGTTCACTCTTGGCATTGAAAGGAACCATGGCTTCCACATTTTTCTTGTCCAAACCCTCATCATGCTCCTCAATTTTCACACCATTTGTCTCATTTGGCTTGCAATGATGGTTTGGGCAACCGAAACAGTGGTATTCTGCCGGGAAATTCTTTTGAAAATCATAGCAAGGTCGTTCCATAGAGACATAGGGTTGGGGCAAATAGCAAAAAGGATGTGATCCGGGGGGTGCATAGTGAAAAGGAGGAGGTGCAATGTGGGGGGCATAAGTTGGTCCGAAAGCACAGTGACTAGGAGGTTGATAGCTATGGCCACAACAGCCATGGGGTTGTGGATATGCATAAAATGGACATGATTCATAGGGTTTGCCTGGATCCAGGTTTGGAGGAGGCCGGGCAATTTGAGCATTGGGATGGTAATAATAACCGTATGGGACATAGGGAATTTGATTCCTCTGGTAAGGGTAGGAATCCATCAAGAGCAGAATGAGCAATGGTCTTCCTGTTTCTGCCAGAGAGGGAGAAAATGGAAAGAAAAAAAAACAATCATATATGGACCCCATAGCCTAGCAAGCTCTCAGATATGCAAATTACTATATACACGGACTCAATATATATACCAATCTAAACAAATTGCTGCAGTAAGGTGCTGGAAATTTCTCTCATTTTACACCTTTAAGCATTTAGTTTCAATCTCTTATTTAATTATGAAATGAAAACTTGGAATCTCTCCTTAGCAATTTAAAATAACTTGGGCTGTTCACAGGTTAAACACCATCACTAATCGCCGCAATGATATATATAGATCTAAACAACTTTAAAAACAGAACGGAAAATTGGTAATCCATTAACGAGGAAATGATAAATCAAAGTCGTTAACCGAAAAATGGAGGAACGATGTGTGTGGATTGAGTACTTACGATCGGTACTGTGAAGGCGAGTGAAAATCACGAAAAGATTGATTCAGTTGTCAGCTCAAATCGATCGACCACCAGATAACAAATAAGAAGAGGATGATGATGATGATGATGATTTTGTGGTGTTACTGTTTCTCAGATGATGAAGAAGAAGATTTGATGAGCGAGCGCCTTTCTGGTTTTTATATTTTCCCTCTGAAAGAATTGTGTAGGGACATTTTTGGTGAGGGTTGGTTTATAAGAGGCGGTACGTTGTGTCTACGGGCTTCCAGATGTTTCGCGGTTTTCTCAACGCTCCCTCCCTCTCCTTCCTAAACATATCAGTGGGCCCGTTCAAAAATGATGTGGCTTGATCAAAATTTTAAAAAAAATTAATTTAAAATATAGTAGCCTGAAATGCCTACCCAACTACCTTAGTGAATGCATAAACTTTAATAATCATATAATAATAAACTTTTGATAATTTTCTACATGATATAAATAATCAAATCATTTTTGTACTAATATTTTAAAATAACGTATATTTGATTGACAATCAAAGTACGTTTATCCAGAAATAAATATGAGTCGCAACATATAATGTGACCACAAATAGAAAATGAGTCACAACATATCTAAGTAGAAGTTTAAACACAATGTGAGATAATAAAAGAATACTCACTTCATTCACAATTAATTGACAATTATGACTTTTAAGATACATCAATAATTAAATTAATCAAGACATACGAGATATTTTTCTATGCTGGTGCTTATTGTCTAATTCTTAATAAGCAATTTTTAACTTATAAGTTGCTTATAAGTCAAATATTTTTTCATGAAAGTAAATAACTTAAATAAGAAATAAGTCACTTAAAAATATTCATAAATGATTAGGGACAATTTTGCAAACAATTTGGTCAAAATAAAAAAACGAAAAAACTAATTTTATAAATAAGTAGCTAAAACTTATTTATTTTACCTGACATATAAGCAGCTTATAAGTTACTTCCTCTGTCCCATTTTAAATTGCATGTTTGCCTTTTTTCTCCATCCCAAAATAAGTTGTCTGTTAGTTGTTTTCATAAACTTTTAAAAATAAAATACCTAAACTACCCCTAAAATAAGTCACTCTTTTTCACCTTATCTTCTCATTCATTATCACCCCTCCTAAAAAGTAATGGCAATTTTGGAAAATCAACTTTATTTTTTATTTTCCTTAAATATGTCCAAAAGTCAAAACAGGCAATTTAAATTGGGACGGATGGAGTAGCTTATAAGCACATGTTATCAGCCGACTTATAAGCTAAAACTTCTTATAAGCAGTTTTGACCGGCTTATAATCATATAAAAACACCACATAATTTATATCAGTATTTATTATTATTTTATATATACTCAACATTTAATAATGAAAAAAACTGTTATAATAATTATAGAGTGTTGCTAAATTCATTCCCTAAATGACTTTGGCTCAATTCTCATTTCTTCTTTTTCTTGGATAGATGTCAATACCGCTAAAGAAACAAAAAGGAAAACAAAAAGACAAATGAATAAATGAATGTGTGTGTACCAGGCGTCCAGGCCCAGGCTATACTTTTTAGCCAATCCTTGTGACATGGAATCAATAACAATGCATGAGAAAATTGAGGCAGGAGCTAATCTAATTTCATTCTATATATATCTTTAGACAGTGAGAGAACTGAATGCTGGCTGGCTATAGCAGATGCTGTACAGAAGAAGAAGAAGAAGAAGCAGCTTTTTCTTCTTCTTCTTCTTCTTCTTCTTTTTCTTGGGTTGAGTTTTTGGGAATTATAATAGTAGTATGTTGCTGCTTCTCCTCCTCGGGCGGAGGCTTCACGTATTTCCCAATCACCTTTTGGTGGGTCCGGCTCCTAATCCTGGAGATCTTATCCCTGCTCTGTTGCCTCCTCTTCTCCTTCTCCCTATTCCTCTGGTTCCTCTCCCTCTCCAGCATTCCTTGCCACAACACTTCTCCAGTGGATGGCCATAGCCACCGCTTTCTGGGGGCATCATCACCACCACTATCTGACACCTCTGCCAGCTCTTCGTCCAGCGCCTTCACCGTGCTGTGCTGGAACCATTTCACCCACATTTTCCCTCTCCGCCCCTCCACCTTGTGCTGCTCTTCCATCACACCTGTCTTTGGGTCCACGTACACCATTCTTCTCCCGCTGTGGTATGCCCACACATTTATAAGCAACTCCAGTATCCTGCTATAGCAGTGCTTATCCTGCACGCGTACACTCATTTGTTATTTCATTAACAATTCATTATTCCCATATGTATAGAAATGTGGACCGAGTCCCAGAAAAACAAATATTTTTTTTACCTTAGTTGCACTCAGGTAGCAATACCCACTTTGGTGATGCTCGTCGTAGTACTCTGAGTCAAGTGCATCCACAAACATTCTGGGAAAAATGATAAAAAGATGGCATCATATCATTGATCTAAATCACATGGCTAGTCAGTGATGTGAAATTAGGAAAGGGTATGGATGGATTGAGCCGAAGAAAGGATCTGGTAGAGCCCCATACCTTGAAAACATTACAAACTCAAGAAAGGATCTGGTTGGTAATGCCCAGCTATGCATCACCGACCATGTGTCTCCGTCGGATGGCATTTGAGGAAGGCAGCTTATATTTTGTTTAATTCCATACACCATCTTCATAGCCTCCGAGAAAGCAAACCTTCACCATATCAACAATTAACTCCTCACGTATTAAGCTCCAAGAAATAGAAAGCCCAGCATGTCTTTTGTTTTCTTTTTTTGTTTTGTAGAGCTGAAAGGGAAAAATTTTAACGCGATGAATCTTACTTGCAGTGCCCTGCATTAATAGTATCACAGAATGACCAGAAGTTCAGTTTCTGTGGGTTTCTTGGATCCTTGTCCTTAGAAGCCCAGAAGAATAAAGTGTCACCATATCTGCGTTCCTCAATTGCATCCAACAATGACATTTCTGCCATCTTAGACAAGGCTTCCTGATTATGACCAAAGTTAGTAAACAAACAGAGGCCGATTACGATGCATTAGCGAACCATGTGTCACCTTTGACTTGTATAAATTGAGTGCTGACATATTCTCAAATTTTAAATAAATTTGAGCTGTTTTATGCAATATATTCTTACAATAAACCGTATCCCCTTCTCCAATATGTATATATATACTCTTACAAAACTATTAGGCACTAGTCAAACAGCTAGTTTATGATTTGGGTCACAAACAGTGTGCCTCATAAAAAGACTAACCAAAGAGAAGAATGGTGGTAGTCTTCCAGAGTTGGGAATGCACTTGGGCAATCATCAACTAACTTAAACTAAAACAGCATGAACAATGAAAAAAGAAAACCTTTCTTGCTGTCAATCTCCAGGATTGGAAACCTATCCAGGCATTCTTGTGTATGCGATCAATCCTATTTGCAAGAGCAAAAAAACCTCCAAATTCGCTAAGGATATCTCGGTAATAGCGGTTATTTAGCAGTGGAAGACGAGAGGGTGCATCAATGTCATCATGGCCTGGTCTCCGTCCTTTAGTAGACTACAGTTAGTGAGTCCACATAGTGATGTCAAATTGTTAGATATAGCGATGAACTATATAAAAAAACAAATCATATTCAAAGGCCACTCACCAGTCCAAGCCCACGGTACAGTGACGTGTGTTGCAAAAATGGCCAGGTCCCTTCCCCATAGTAAGGTTCGTAAATGCACAACCTTTGGCCTGTCCTTTCAAGCTCCCCATCATCCCTCTCATGCAAATCATTCCTCAATCGGTCAACTCTTTTGGCACTTTTATATACTTCCTCCCATGTTCCTCGATATTGAAACATTCTATCCTTCAACTGCCTCAAATACAAACATAAAAGTACATGAGTAAATTTAAGAACGATAAAATGAAAAGAAAAATAAAAGTTCCAAATCAAGCAGTCAAATTGTACTGGTAGAATGAGAAGAAACAAAAGGAACACCACTAACTTCATCATCTTCTCTTCTCTTCGCTCTATTTGTCATCTGCATATATTTTTCCTCCTCCCAAATGCTATATACAAAGGTGTCGTTCAATGCCACAGAACTATCCTCTTGAGTATGATTCAATTGGTTTTCAAGCTTGTTCAGTGACATATGGGACCGCCAAGTTCTATTTTTGAAATGATCAACATCAATTGCTCCTTCAAACAGATGCCACTGCCACTCTGATTTCAATTTGAGAGGAATCTTTGTCACGGACTGTATGTTTGCAGCTCCAGATGTATACCTGAGAACGTGTTCCAAAAGTGAAGCATACCCTTCAACACTCTCCAAAACCATAAGGTTCCTAGCTGTTTGCTTTCCAATAGATGCAGCATTTTGAGCAAGAAGTGACAGTTTACCATTTGAGACAATTTGTGAGATTATATGAGGTAAAACTTTAATATTCTGTTTTGGATAGAGAAAGCCATTCACCCTGTCATCAACCTGAACAGTGTTTTGAGGCAGTCAGTCTCTAGATTTGTTTAAAAACATGGTTAGAAAATACCACAAATTTGTCAGTAAGAAAGTTGAGTTTAAAACATACATTTTTCTTGATAATTGATATATTTGGGGCTACGACAGGTTTCCCAAAGCACATTGCTTTTAGCAGAGTGTTTGGAAATGATTGCTCTTCACGGAATGAAGCATATATCACCACATCAGCGATACTTAAGATACTTTCTGTGTCTTCACCTGGAGCAAAATGCTTCACCATTCCATTCGGGTATTTCAAGTTCAGTGCAATTGTCTGCATTTAAGTTTACAGTTAGCAAACGCGCAAGAACAACAGCAACAAGCTAAGCATCAAAGAATCCTTCATAAAAACCAACTGTCATGCTTTATTAATGGATTTTAAAATAAGAATAATAAATAGAAAGGAAATATGTAGCTTTACCTCCACAGCCATAGTGTAATTACTATTTGATCCTCCAGCTAAAACAATAACTTTGAAATGAGATTTAGAACTCCCATCATTTTCCATGTGAAGTAAGATTGGCTGCAGAGACTGTAAAATGAGGGCTTGCTCAAGCCACAGACCTTTGTATAGAAGTTGGCTTCCTAAAATTACAATAATGAAGTCTCCTGATCCATAGCCCATCTTAGCACGATAACTATCTGTGTTTGATGCCAGAAAATTAGCAGCTTCCCATACTTCACTAGTAGATCCCGGAATCACAAAGTAGTTTCCAGTATCACAGGTTGAGTATAATATCTAAATAAATAGCCAAACACAATTGAGTATTAGCTTCCAATTGAATACTAGACACACACAGACATTGATTTTACTTGCAGTATCCATGCAAAAAAACTTGATAATGTAAACACCAGCTCAATGAACTTCAAGTGTACATAATAATCATATACAAGTATGAATGTTTATTACACATCAAACATTTTCCATTCTTAACAATATCTATATCCGCTCAAGTTGGACTCATGTTTTTTAACTTGGGTTAGGTACCAAAAATGTTCATATTTCAGCACGATAGCATACTTGCAACATTGAGTTTAGCTTTGCCCATGATACAATCACAGAAAAACCCAAAATATACAAGATAATGTGATTATTTTCTATAGAATTATACCGGCAGAATATAATTTGGGAACACAACAACATCAGCACGGCTGAATACTTTTCTCCAATGCTCAACAAGCATGTTCTGGCCACCAGACTTATACTGTCTCAAGTGAGAAGCAAGCACATGTTCCTGGATAGTCCACATAACAGGTACATTCTTAAAAGGTTCCTGCATCAGGCTGTAACAACTAACAAGTATAAATGGGAGAAGGACATTGAAATTCTTAAAATGTAAAAGTATGTTACATTTACACTTCCAAATGTATGTGAATTTAACTTAAGTGACACAGAACACATTAGGAGCTGATGCTTACCAAGATAATACTCTGGCAACTTCAAGTGAGCTCAAAAGTAAGGCATCATAGCTGAAAAAGGCATGCAAGAAAGTTTAGATAAGAAAGTCCACTACATGTTGTACTCTTGATATATGACGGTAATGGGTGAAACTGTTAAAAGAACCTAGAAAGCCATGTAGGTAAAAGCTATATAAAATACGGAGTAGCTACAAAGTACAAGGCTGGTTGGCGTATACAAAAAATGCAGCCACTTAGCTTAGTAAAAGGCAAAGGGCAGAAAGGATTGGATAAATAAGAAATTGGAATGTCCAAAACACTAAACTTAGTAAAACAAATCATAAAATGTGAGAGCATACGAAAGCCAATCTACGTAGATAGTCTTCATATTCTTATCAGTTTCTATAGTGCTAACTGGAAGTCCAGTATCTCTCCATACAGCATGCACAGGACCATCTTCAAGTGTAAGCACCTAAAAGTTAAAGACATAATGTTAAGACAGGAAGAAACGTAGGGCACTCAAACCGTTCTCAATTTTTCCAAAACTATGGAATATATATTGGAGAAAGCCGCAATTGTTGTGTTTAAAGAACACTTCATCAACTCTCTAGAAGATCTATGAGTAAAATAGTTGGCTATCATGGAAAATGAAAAAAGCGCACTTAGAAAATCAATCGTGGCAAACTTCAGGGCACTGTATGTTCTTGTAGTAAAAGTTTGAAAAACAAGAGAGTAATGCCACGACAAGTACCTCAACCTCGTAGCCCATCTCCTTCAAAGATAACGCAACGTTAAGCATCATTACTTGATATGGATCAGCCAACATATTAGCAAAAACCTACCAGATTTTTGGAAAGTATAAAACCACTAACAGCACCATAATACAACCAGAACAGCACTTGGCAGAAAAATATGGATACTCACCAATCCAAGTTTGGGTTTGGGGTAGGGTATCCCCATTGCTCTCCTAGACTCAGCAGTGGCATTGAACCTGGCTAAAATCTTGGAAGGCTCGAACTTCAAATCTTCCCCGAAGTCCAAAGCGCCCAGCTCTTTCAAGAACTCCAAATCCCCAGACCCAACTCCACTGACACTTGAGAAATTTTGGGATTTTTCAACCAAGAAACCAGGCAGAAGCATCTGGAGCAGCAAGACAAAGAAGAAGAACACCCCCACCGTGCAAATCCACTGGAGATAGTCAATCTTCTTGAACAGAAGTGCCCTCGTGCATCTCGATCTGAGCCTCTGAAGCCTGCTGTTGCTTGCTCCAGAAGAAGACGATGACGATGAGGATGAGCGAAGCATGAAATGGCGGTGCGGATCTTTCTTGAGTGGAACCCCAGTTTCAAGAGAACCCATTTTATCCGCCCATCAAATGAATTTCTCTTACAAGAATCTATTGGACTTCCCAATGACGAACGGAGGAAAAATGTCAAGAAAGAATATTGAACTTTCTTTTAGCTCGTGATATTTGGAGTAACTTTTTTTTTTTGCGGAGCATTTAAAAAAGAAATACGGAGTATAAATATTTGATAAAACTAAATAAAGAAACAGCAGCTGTAGAACTGGAGCAAGTCCCTGCGTAATCAGCACAGAATGAATACGATTAGCGAATTCTGGTGAGAGTGTGGCGGTCAACTATGCGTTGACCACCTTCTTTTCTTTTTCTTGTTTTTTGAACACACCACCTTCCTTTTTTAAAATGGAGTCCGAAACTCCGAATTGTATTTACTTTTATTTTCATCGAGAAAAAAAAGCTAAATTCAAATGCTTTTTCATTCCTTTATTTCCCTTTTTCCCATTAATTACTCTCTCAATCTCCTAGTATAAAACTTCTCAAGTTGGCATTTTTTAATTTTGAAAAAATATGAAAATATATTTTTTATATTTTTAATACACATTTTATAAAACTAAAATAATAAACTTCATTGATTAATTAAATTTAAATAATAATAATAATTCAATAAATAAAAAATTACATTAAAAAAGAACTTTTACTAAAAAAACATTGATAAAAAACTAAGGCAAATTATATTTGACTGATCTCTTTTTGTTTTCTCTCGTAAAACATACGTTTGAAGCCCGTTAACATATCAAGATAAGTTTTCATTATTTCGACATCTTCCTTCTTTTGTCTTCGTTTCTCCCTCTCTTCTTTCCTAATATTGAACACACGCAGTTGTTCAACCATTGCCCGGCCGACATCATCGTGAGATTTTGCCTTCGTCCTTCTGATTGGCCGTGAAATGGGGTCATCGTCGTCGAAGTCATATAGGTTGAAGGGAGGTGTTTGTTCCGCCGAGCTGATAGTCTCATCGGCCTCAACCGCTGTTGAGGATCTTTTTTTGACGATCCAGCCTCCGAGGTGTTAATTTGTTGCCATTTCGGTGAACAGCTTAAAAATCTCCAAGGAGCGGCGGGGACTTTGAATTAGTGTCTGTCGTCTTGATACCGAGCGATAACTGCCGCAAAACATCGATATCGTTCATCCCGCTTTTCTAGGACTGAGAGCATTCCTAGTAAACTCCGATAAACGTTATTAGTTTACGGTTGATGTGGCCCCATTTGGAAGTGAGTTGATCTCAGGTTCGGTAAGAGGCGTCCATGTTCATTACTGCAAAGAATTTCTTCTCGATACAATCCCACGTCGCATCACTTGTTTGCTTGGAACATTTAAGAAATACTAGTTGAACGAAAAAATATTCTAATATATTAAAAAACATATAAGTTTAAGAAATATCCTTTCATTGTATGTCTCTCCAATTAATTATTTACAATTGTTATTTATGTGATCAAACTATTTTATCATTCTTTATATAATTCCACTAACAACACCAACGAAAATTCTTTTGTGGACCTAAGGTTCAAACTTATTTTATGGATCTTAGTACATTTGTAGCATAAAGAAAGTTGGCCTTTTGCAAGAGAAAAAAATATATTTACATGTCAGCTCATGAAAAATGTGAGAAGATCTAGATTTTAAATGCAGACTTAGGGATCATGTAAACATCACTCTTTCACCAAACATATTTCACTTCTAAATACGTTCTTAAAATTCGTGAAGTCAAAGCCACTCAAAAACAAAATAAATAGAACACATATATATAGATTTATTTACAAATCTAAGCCTTATTCTTTTTAAACACCATACTCCAATACCAACTTCAAGTTCATAAATTTTTTAAGCTTATCAATTTCTAGTAATTAAAAGATTAATTGAGTTTTATAACGGGGGTATTTCTTTGTGCGTGTGCTTATTGGCTTATTGCTGATAAGCAGTTTTTAACTTATAAACTATTTATAAGTTAAGTATTCTTTCGTAGAAGTAAAATGACTTAAATGATAGATAAATCATTTGTAAATACTCATAAATGGCAAGGGACAACTTTGTTAATGATATTGTCAAGACGAAAAAACAAAAAACTGGCTTAAAAATAAGTAGCTAAGACCTATTATTTTTTTCTGTCTTATAAACAACTTATTAGTCATCTTATAAGCACACAAAAACATGTCATCAACTGACATATAAATTAAAAACTGCTTATAAGCAGTTTTGAGTGTGGAGAAACACCCACAATAGATTTAATCCAGGTTCTAGTTATTAGGTGTCAAGTTTCAGTTACCAGCTTCAAGGATTCAATTACCAGTCTCTAGTCTTCAATTACCATACTCAAATTCTAACACCCCATACCTTGTGGGCTCTAGCTTGTAAAAACTATGTTTAAAAGATTAATTATCTTAAACAGCCTAGTCATGTGAGTGATGAATCAAGATAACGCAGAGTGCAATCCTGGAATCACATTGAACCTATACCCTTGATGCTTTATTGGAAATGACTAAACCCAGTCATTGTACTGTACACATCACAATGCTACAAATTATTCTCTATTTTAGTAAAACTTTTGTATTTAAAAAAAAACTGCATTTGATGAGAACTGCTGCAATATATAGACCTAGTGGTGTAGTGTGGTATGATTGAGAAAACGAGCTTCATGGATCCTTATCAACAAGACTATATGGATATCGCTGTGGGGCATTCACCCCCCTTCACTTTTGGAGTTTCAGTAACTTCTGTTTAGCAAAGAGAGTTGAAAGAACACTCTTGCTGCGAGCAGGTGCACGTACCAGTTCCCACCGCTGATTGTCAGATGATCTATATGTATGCGTTGGTTTAGAACCCTCCCGTGTATTATCCTGAAAAAGAAGAAGAAAAAGAAAACCAATAGCAGTGGGAATGAAAGTGAGTCTGCCTCTTTTGTGGCTTGTTTTGATAATGGATGCATAACACACTTCGGGAGGGAGTTAGCAGATATAGGTAGTGTCAATAATGTGGGTATAGCATTACCCGTTGCACAATGCCCAATGTCTGTGTTGCTATAGAAGATGCAGGACTCATGCTTGGGGGGTTAGTAGGTTGAGCTGGAGGCACTTTTGTCCTAGTCTTGCTCGAAGCAGCGTCTGCCCGCAATAAAATTCAAGCCATCCTTTAATTAACACATGCATGATATATTTTCTTAGACAGAAAGTGCAGGACAATAATCATGGAATGGATCCTTAACATACATAACAAATTGAACGCTGCAGATGTTTTTCCTGGACTTTTTATATCATCAGCACTGTAAGAATGTTAACAAACATAATACTGTATCCCACTATAATGAACTCTAAAAATGATTTTATTAGAAACTCTCTATTGCATGTGTACAAAGCCAAGAAGTTCCTAACCCTGCAAAACCAAATGAAGAGTCCTTCAAAGTTGATGTGGTCTCTGATGCCAGATGCCATGAAAGAGTTTTAGCAGCCGGATTGCCTGCAGTCAAAATGCATATGTTAACATTGACACATAAGTGTAATAACAGCAGGAGAAACTTTGTCAGCATGGCAGCAATAAAAAAGTGGTTAATTACCTGAAGCGTAAAGGTGGGCTCTGGATTGTATATGTTGCCTATGATTATGGGGACCGAAGTGAACCTTCTTGTTGACAAAATCTAGGACATTACAAAATTATAAGAGTGGGATAGGAAGTGAGGCTGACTTTGCATTCAAGAAATTCAAGCAAGGACTATACTTGGTAAAGTGTAGTGTTTGTGATGTCTGGGGATGACAGCTAATAGCTGCTGCTGTCTGAGTGCTTCTTTCTCCGTGTATGTTTGACAAGTTAGAAGTCGCTGATATAGACAATATTTAAGTTCACTGCGGTGAATATTTGATGATCAATCTAAGGCTTAAAAAAGAATACAGAGTAAGAACTCAACAAATACCTGATTTAAGCAAAAGATCTTTAACTCCGTGGCCGAAACATCTAAATTATGCTGGCCAACGAGGTCAGTCAATTTGTAAGAAACCGTTCCTAGGTGGTCTACCGCATTTACAAGTGCTCTGACAGCATAATCTTTCAGGTTCTCTAAAACCCTAAAACAAAACACTACATTAGGGCACAATTTTAATTTCTTAAAAAAAAATCTCATCTTAATTAGCTGCAGGTAAACAATGAGTAATAATGATGATTGCGATTAACAGCCCACTTCAAAGGGGGCTGATCCATACAAGCATAAGGAACATAGAATTACATCTGTTTCTGATCGCTGTGAAGATAAGACTTTTCACAATAATCAGCAGCAGAATACAGTTGAGGCCTTAAGTTCTTCAATTCCTGAAGCAGGCGTGCAACAGAAACAGAATTAATCAAAAAAATAAAAATAATAATCATATTTTCTAACATGACAAGTGAGATCAGAAGGGGCAATGGTTAATTGTTTTCGACAATGAAATGGTGCCTGGAGAATGGCACCATTTACATAAATAATAAAGGTAGAGAAAAGAGAATGCCGTAATGGATAAGATGGGAACTTACATGGCGAATTCAACTATAAATTAAGAGCAATGAGGGGCGCGCGAGCAGATCAGATCAGATCTCAAAAATGGCAGAAACAAATATAAAAAAAGGGAGAAGAGGAAAAGGAATGAAACCTGTAAGGCTTTGACGAAACTCTTGCTCCGCTCCAACGACACTTCGTCGAACGTCATCGCGGCATTCGGCGGTTTCGCTTGCACCGCTTCCATCATCTCCAGAGCAGAGAGATCGGTGAGCCGCCAAAGTGGGAAGGCAGCAATATAATTTAAGCGGAAGATTTCGGTGGTTAACAATGGAGTAGGTCGGTTATGGGAGGTGATGGCGGTGGCGGGCTGCGGTGGAGGAGTCTTGAGAAGGACGCAATGCCGGGAAGTGCATTGATGGAGTCATGATCAAGCGAAACGGACGTAGTAGTCGTATTTAATGTTGAGGAAGAAGATGATGGAAAGACAGGTGTGGGTGGGTTGAACTGAGCTTAATTAAAGCTTAGCTGGGTTGGGTCGTTTGAGTTTGAGGTCCACCCCACCCCGCTCAAGCTCACACCAAACAATACAAATACCCCTCTGTCCGTCTACTTTCATTTTTTGCACACAATCTAATGCACTTCTTTAATCCATTTTATCTTGTAATTTGTATATTAAAAAATTATAAAAATTATATATTAATAATCTATATGTTAAGACGAATCAAACAAGATCACACATGACTATTTTTAGGCTTACACATTGAGAGAATTTAATGAGTCAAAGTACTTAGATGAACCGTTCCAAAAGTCAAAAGTGGACAAACACTCAAGGACGGACCAAGTAAGTCATTTTTTCATTCACCTAATCTGATTAGTTTTGATTTGATTGAAATAAATCTTAATTTGATTTGATTTGATCTAAATGTAATTATATTCAAAATTACTCCCTCCGTCCTCCTGTATTTGTCCACATTTGACTTTTGGAACTGTTCATCTAAGCACTTTGACTCATCAAATTCTCTCAATGTGTAAGCCTAAATATAGTCATGTGTGATCTTGTTTGATTTATCTTAACATATAGATTATAAATATATAATTTTTATAATTTTTTAATATACAAATTACAAGATAAAATGGATTAAAGAAGTGCATTAGATTGTGTGCAAAAATGAAAGTGGACAAATACAGGGGGACGGAGGGAGTATATCTAATCTGATGTGCTCTGATATAATTTCAATAAGAATAAGTAATAAGTAAAAAATAAGTTGAAAATTACATAGCCTTAATACTCACTTCCTACATTTCTATAATTAGTTATTAATAACTGATCATTTATATTTAGTCATTTATTATTAAATATTACAGCATGATCTTTTTTTATAGATATCTTTCCACGCATAACTTTTTTTAAACTTTTAATAATATTAGTGTTAATATAAGACTAATAGTATTAAATCCCAAAAAATGAGTCTGGGTCGGTAGGGCATATTGCCCAACTCCTAGGTCGGTCCTAATTCAAACCATAAATAATGGAGGGATGCAAATATATAAAATCATTTACGTAGTATATGTCAAAATTTGGGAGTATATTTTACTCTAGGAGAAGAAGCTAAGTACTTATAGTTTGTAATCCAACCTTAATCTTTATTCTAGCCGAATTGGATAAGAAAAAGAAAAGGATCTAAACGACCACTAGCACTGAATCCATAAGAGGAGAGGACCATTTGCAAACTTCAAATCAATAATATTACCATGTTAAAAGCTTAAGCTTATGTAGCAACGCTTATAAGATCAAATAAAACTTTATTTTAACCAAGAGCGCAAAACAAGAATACATTTCTATACTCATTCGCCATTGCTCTAAAAATTATATTTAGAAAGAAAGAAAGACAAATCTATCAAGTTTGAGGTGCAATTGTGCAAACACTATTCATGAAAAAATCTTACAAAAAAAAATTTAAACGACGACTTGAACTGAATCTATAAGAGGAGAGGACCATTTGCAAACTTCAAATCCATAATATTACCATGTTACAAGCTAAGCTTGATGTAGCAGCACTTATAAGAACATGACTATACAACAAAAAAGACTTTACAAATCCATGTCAATGAGAAAAAGAGTCGCGTTTTTTAGTACTGTATTACAAATATAACCGCTCTTTCATGGATGAACTCCACAGTAAGGGTAATTGTGGGTTATCAGAGATTCCCATCCCTAGCAAGAGCTCACTTCTTCAATGCCATCTTCTCTCCGATGATTCCTCAATATCCTCCTGATTCCTGACAGAAGAAGATAAGATCGAAGACAGGTGACATCTGGGACCACAAGAATTCACGTGTGCCATGAAGTTCTTGAACGAAGAGGATGATATCTCAAAGAAAGTGGGCTTTGGGGTTGATCCACACCCAATGCATTGAATCATTTCTTGCACAGATCGCACAAGGAACTTTGGGGGAGGTGCATTCAGAGCAATATTGTGGACCCTGTGCTCATATATCTTCCCCTTCTTATCAAGTTTGTATTCTGAAGTCCCATCAAACCGACCACGGCTCTCCCATGGAACCCGCGGAATTCCATGGACTGTCCAACGCACCATTATCATGTTCTCCACAGGCTGCCACACACTAACAATGTCAATCCACAGTGCCTTAAAAAATATCCTGCCATGGAACCGTAGCGCCCAAAAGATTGATTTGTAATTCTCAATGCCCACAAATGTGTTGATTGGGTCTTTGAACACAATATCATCCCTGGAATAAGTGAAAAGGAACATCAAATCATTGAAAACATTATATTACAGAGGTGAAAATTATTACTCCGCATATCATTCTTGGACTTCAAATCGTGTTTCACCCCCCCCCCCCTCTACAAAAAAATGACTACTTGCCACACCACATTGCATATGTTTCTAAACAAGCCGATGTTGGTAGAAATGCTGCAAACCAAAAGGTATTGAGTTTCACAACTTGGAAATACACCATATGAAACATGGTAAACCTAATCCAATGTGGCAGTGTATAAAAAATTACACCAAGTGCTTAGCTCTATTGCTAATTATCTTAATCATGTTTTATTGTTCTTGGCATAAGAATGCCAAGAAGTGGAAAAAGAACAGATCTTACATCTTTTTTATTGTCAGTGTACCACTAAAAACATATGCATCCTATCCAACATTCTAAGACACAAAATACTCAATTTTGTTAACAACTTCATTAAATCACCAATAGTGGAAGTACAAAATCAGGAGTAGAGGTCCAAGCACCACACTGAGAACCCACCCGCCTAGCCAATATATGTGCTACCACATTAGATGAACGCCGAACAAAAGAAATCGAAGCAAAAGAACAATCAGCCAATGGTGCCTTACAATAATCAATAACAGCACCAAAGTAAGTCCAAAAAGAAGAGGACTCCTGACACTTTTTTTTGAAGGAAAAGTGAATCTTTGCAGATTGGGGTTATATTTTTCCAAACGAAACAAATAGTTCTGGGGATTCTCACCGTTCAAAAACTTGCAATTTACTCGCTATTTACTCATATTAGCTGGAAAACAGAATTGAAGTCATGAACAGATATAAAAATTAGAATTACTACCACATCAATTGTAGACAGATCATTATAACGAGAGATAGCAAGAAACAAACAAAAAAAACCTGTAGATATCAAATGTAATCTCCCGGAGAAAAAAGATCGGAAACTCCTCCCTGAGGGTCTGAATGGCGTAGCCCGTGTTGAGATAGAAATCCCGCCTCTGCTCCTCCTCTTTGCTCATCTTCGTAGCACTGGGCTGAGCTGAGAACTGCTCGCGCAGACCCATATTATCCCCCAAACGCGAACCTTTCACGGACTCCTCCAAATCCTTAACGCTGAATAAAACCCTAATTTTAGCCATTTCCTTTCCACTCGTATTGAATTGAGGAGTTTCGACCTTTTTCCCGGCTCTGAACTTTGTATTGGAATAAATCCCCGCCGGGGGCAGCCCAACTGAGAATGAAGAGATTCTCGACGGCGGTAACATGACAGCCATCCGGTGACGCGAATTATTCAGAACTTCAGAGGAATCAAAGGTGCCGGAAACCGAGGGGAGACCATAGTAGAACTGTCAGCCTCCTTGCGATGAGTCAAAGAGAAAAAAATACGCGCGAACGTTCTAGAGACGATGGAGGAGAATTTTGGGTTTAATTTGGTTAGATTTGAAAGAACGATTCTGTATTTGTCGGAATCGGAGTTGAGAGGCAGAAAGATGGGTGGAAATCATGTGGCAACGACTATCCAAACCTCATCACCTCGTGGTTCTTAAGTTTATTCCACCAATAACATCTTTACCTAGGGGTGTAAACGGATATTAATCGGATCGGATGTGCCATTACCAAATCCGCATCCGTTTATTTTTGTCGGATATCGAATNTAAATATCAATAGAGAAAAAAAATATAAAAATAAAAAATTAGAAAAAACTATATATAACGGATCGGATATTCGGATAAACGGTTATTTAAACGGATGCATATGCGGATCGGATTTTAAACGGATCGGATATACAATTACCAAATCCGTATCCGTTTAGTAATCGGATATCCTTAATCGGATACGGATAATATCCGTTTAAAATGGATGCGGATATTTCCTCTTTAAACGGATACGGATGCGGACGGTAATCGGATTTTCGGCTATCCGTTTACAGCCCTATCTTTACCTATCATAATTTCAAAACATATACTGTGGGTATAATTAAATACTCCTTCCGTCCTAGAATATTTATCCACTTTCATTTTTACATATCATTTAATACATTTCTTTAATCCATTTTATCTTGTAATTTGTATATTAAAATATTATAGAAATTATATACTCCCTCCATCCACTTAAGATGTTCTCATTTTGACTTTTTGTTGTTTTTAAGAAGATTTGAAAAAGGTGAAAATTTACCATAATACCCTTAATGAAAATGGATGGAGTGTTTTAAATGAGGTGAGTGAGGAGTAATAAATAAAGTAAGTGAGGGTAGTTGTGGTATTTTAATTGTTAAAAAATGAAATGAGAAGATCTATTGTGGACAAAGAAAAGGGGCTATTGGAAAGATCTATGAGGGACGGAGGGAGTATTAATAATCTATATGTTAAAAAAATCAAACAAGATCACACATGACTATATTTAGGTTTACATATTGAGAGAAGTGTGTAAGTTTTTTGAAATCATGAGAGATAACGGTACATGATGGGTATATCCCTATACCCGACCCGGATAACCGAAATGGACAGGTCAAAATATGACCAGTCACTTTCATCAATCACCAAATGAGGTTAACTCTTCGATTGGGACGGGTCAAAAGTTGACCGGTCACTTCCCTTAAAAAAGTGACCGGTCACATTTTGGGCGATAGCCAAAATATCACCTAATGTTACGAAAGATATTCCGGAAGACCAAAGAGACGGGTTGAGCTCAAGAAATGACCGAGTAACCTCTGAGAAAAGATGACCGGTCATATCACATTACTTGGCTAACATTGGTCCAGTCTCTCAGGCATGGCGAACCACGTCAAAGACCGAGGGACCACCCCGTTGCTCATCCATCACGAGCCATACAGTGAAAGGGATGTTTGTCATTTTGCAGGGTTGATTGGATTGAGAATATCCATCTTTTAGTCATTGATTGAACAGTGTCTTGGCTTGTAGCTATTGAAATCAATGATTGTACAGTGTCCCCATTAACTATAGTGACCTTCCCATGAGCTTCTTATTTTGTCCATGGATGAGCAGGGGAAGGTCACGAATCCTCCTATATAAATATGATGATTATGGATAGAGGAGAGATCTGTTCTTTATCTCACTATAAAGTACACTCTTGACACAGAGTAAGAAATATAATTCAGACTGATGAGATTTACCCGGTCTAGGTCTTACTTTATGTTCTTGTTGTGTGTTTTATATTACGGGTCGAGTGTGTCCAGGTCAAACCCGGTTAACCCACCCATTTATATTTACACCATCAGTACACATTTACCAAACCACAGAAGATGTTGATGCAATAAACTCTTCCTTTAAAATACCCTACTTTCTCCCTCAATTATTTGTCCATTAAAAATATTTTACAATTAAAATTAACAAAATATATATACTTTCTCCATTTCAATCAAAAGTTTACAATATCACATATAGTCATAAATATAAAATACTACATCCGTCTTAGAGTATTTGTCCACTTTCATATTTACACATCATCCAATACACTTCTTTAATGCATTTTATCTTGTAATTTGTATATTAAAAAATTATAAAAATTATATATTAATAATCTATATGTTAAGATAAACCAAACAAGATCACACATGACTATATTTAGACTTACACATTGAGAGAATTTGATGAGTCAAAGTGTTTATATGAACAGTTCCAAAAGTCAAAACTAGATAAATACTCCGGGACGGAGGGAGTATATAGTTTTGTCAATTACAGAGAATTTGTGTTTTTTTTACATATCACATATACTCATATAAATAAAGCAAAGTACCTAAGGAAATTTGATATATTCGGTTCGGTTCGATTTTGTAAAGTGAAAACCAAGACGAAAAGTAACAAATAATGGTTTGGTTCAATTTTTTTTTGTTGGTTTCGAGTTTTTCTGAATTGTTTTTTTCTAGCTCGTTTAGATCGATTTCTGTTCAATTTGAGATTTTCAATTTTCCCAACTCGACCTTAGTTTCATTGCAACTAAGACGATATTGTGGACTGGTCGTTTCTAACCTCGTGAAGCTTAAGGTATTTGTATTGGAGAGGCTTTGATTTGTAACTGGTAGTGTAATGTTGGGGTTAAGTGCAATGGAAATCAGGCCTAAACAGGTTGAAGCTTAACACTAGTGCCTCCCTCTCTACCCATAATCCTCATATGGGGCTCGGATGTAAGGTAATCTCCATGTCACTGAGGGGGGTTTTATTGCAACTAAGACGATATTGTAGAGTTTCGTTTCCAACCTCGTGAAGCTGAAGGTATTTGTATTGGAGAGGCTTTGATTTGGCTGAAGGAAGTAGAGATTGACAATGTGGACATGGAGATTGGTGCGAGCAGGTAACTTTCTTGTTACTCTGAACCTTTTTAATTTTTCCTCTAGTTTTATTAGTTCTGGTACTTCCTCCGTCCCTAAATATTCACCACATTTGCTTTTTCAGCAGTCGCGGGAACTTTTGTTTATTTCGACGTTTTCATTGGTTATTTGATAAAATAAAATATTCTTGACACCTCTTATTTCGAAGAACTTTTCATGTAGTTTTTTTATATGTAAATTTTATTTTTTATTTCTATACCAATATGTAAATAAAATGAATTGAAAAAACTTGATATTTTGCCTTGGAAATACAAATGTGGCAAATAATTTGGGACGGAGGGAGTATTAAAGAAGTTGTTACTTGCTTTAGTAGTTTGAATTTTAGTTTTGTTAGCAGATGTGCGAATCATGTTGTCCACCATGTGGCTAAAGAGACGGGTTATATGTCTTATCTGATGGAATGACATGTCATTTCACCTTTTTTCTTGTAAATAATATTTCTCATGATATGATGAATTGAGCTTTTATTGGTAAAACAACAACAACAACAACACAGTTAAATCCTACAAGAGTATGGTCTGGGGAGGGTGTGTATACGCAGACCTTACCCCTACTCGAAAGTAGAGAGGCTGTTTCCAAAGAGACCCCCGGCTCAACGTCGAAAGTTGCATTGCTTGACTAACTGCTACTTCATTAATTAAAGAAGCGCAGACAGTTTAGAGATCCATTTTGATTTATTCGATCACACCCCAAAGCCAAAAAAATGGTGAAAATTTGGCTCCATCGAAGATGATGGAAAGATTGGTAAAAAAAAGTGTTGGAAAGTTTTAAAAATAGGTTAAATAATGAATGTGAAAAGATAGGATTTGTTTAGAAAAACGGAAGAAAAATACTTTATAGATATTATTTTGGATTGAAACAATTAAGTATCTAATACATTGATATAGAAGGCAAACATGCAACAAGCTATACCACTAGTCCTTTTTTTTAAGTTACTCCATATTTTGCAATGAACTAGAGTTTGGAGTGAATATAAGAAATGAAGATTGATGGTGTAAATATAGATGGGTGGGTTGACCGGGTTTGACCTGGACACTCGACCCGTAATATAAAACACACAACAAGAACACAAAGTATGACCTAAACCGGGTAATCTCCTCAGTCCGAAATATATTTCTTACTCTGTCTCAAGAGTGTACTAGTTTTTAGTGAGAGAAAGAATGGATCCTCTCCTCTATCCAATATCATCATATTTATAGAGGAGAGTTTGTGACCTTTCCCTGTTCATCCATGGACAAAATAGGAAGCTCGTGGGAAGGTCACTGTAGATAATGGAATCACTGTACAATCATGGACTTGTTACTAATACAACCAAAAAGCACTGTTCAATCAAAGACTAAAATGGATATTCTCAATCCAATCAACCCTGCAAAATGACAAACATCCCTTTCACTGTGTCCCCTCGACCTCTGACGTGGTTCACCATGCCTAAGAGACTGGACCAATGTTAGCCAAGTAAAGTGATATGACCGGTCACCTTCTCTCAAAGGTTATCCGGTCATTTCTTGCGCTCAACCCGTCTTTTTGGTCTTCCGGAATATCCTTCGTAGCATAAGGTGATATTTTGGCTATCGCCCAAAATGTGACCGGTCAACTTTTGACCCGTCCCAATCGAAGAGTTAACCTCATTTGGTGATTGATAAAAGTGACCGGTCATATTATGACCCGTCCCTTTCGGTTATCCGGGTCGGGTATAAGGATATACCCATCAAAGATCATCACTATAAGGAAGTAAATTAAACTTTGATGATGGATCGGTCACAAAAAATAAAGCTTGCACTTGGTACCTGCAGAATATCTCTTGTCTTTGCCTACTAGTCCATCCCCAAATGATTTAGACATTGCTGGTGGACGGGTCTGGGTCGTTGTGTGGTGTTGGATTGTTTTGGTATATCCCCACATTAATTCGAGAAGAAAAGAAAATATGGACGGAATGTGTTAAACTGCGTATATCGGCTATATCCTTTTGATAATATATTGCCCTTCAATTCAAAAGCTGGTCCTTTTCCTTGTACGCGTAACGGAACGAAAGTGGCCTCCTTTTGGCGTATTCCCACTCACCCACTCATCCTCATGTACTCTACGCTCTGCTGACTTTCTATTCCAATGCAATTCAAGTAGTGATAAAGAAATGAAGAGAATGAATGCAACAGTTCTTGGATTTGGAATCATGAACAACCAAACCAAACCATACACACCCTTAATATGAAAAAAGGACATGAAAAGGATCCTTCCTTTCCACACACATACAAAAGTAAAACCTTTACTCTCTTTCTACCCAGACTTCTCTATATCAATAAAATTAAAACAATGTGATGATAGTAAAAGAATAAACACCCTTTTCTGCCTAAAAAAACATCCTTTTGCTAGCCATGATGCCTTTACCCAAATACTCCCTAGTGTTTAAAGAATCCGCAGGGTTGTTTTTCTAGGGTTCATACATAATTTAAAAAAATGAATAGATAAAGAAGCTATGGTTTATTGTACTGTCAAAAGATGAAGTGAGAACCACAGATTAGTGAAATTGAAATGACAAGAAGAAGTCATTCATGAGGAGATAAAACTGCCATTGAAAAACCAGAAGAAAAGAACAAAAGGGAATGCTTATAGAGATATACTGTAGTAGTACTCCGTAGTAGTAGTAGTAGCAAAAGAAGAAAACAAACAAACAAACAAGAAGAAGAAGGATGTGCCTGAGACTCAGCCATGGGTGTTGACAGCTTCCCAGAGGAGATTCTCCCTGGCCTCGAGGGCGGCGGATCTGAGGGTTTGGAGGGTGGTGAGATTGGCCTGGATGAAGGAGAGGCTCCTGTAAGGCAAGTTGTGCTTCTTGCAGAGGGCCTGAACCACGGGGGAGATGTTCCTCAGCTGGGACCTGGGGAGCCTGGGGAACAGGTGGTGCTCCAGCTGGAACTGGAGCCCCCCGAAGAACCAGTCCATCCACTCCGTGCAGCTTATGTCGATCGTCCCCCTCGTCTGCTTCTCGAACCAGTCGTTCCCCTCCGGCCTCCCCACGTACACGTTCGCCGCGAAATGGTTCAGGCAGAACTGCACGTGCTGGATGGAGCACACGCAGAAGCTGGTCAGCACGAACACCACCCTCTCCGTCCAGTTGGGGAGGCAGGAGACCAGGAGAGGGAACCACGCCCAGAACACCATGATTCCCAGGATGTTCAGCGCCCTGTCCGGAACTCTCCTCCTCTTGGAGAGGAGGAGCAGGAACGTCTGCAGGTAGAGGTTCACCCTGGCCACGCACATCACGGGGTAGAAGGTGAAGTGCTGGTAGCTCACCAGGAACCTGGCGAGGGGGTCGAAGGTGAGCTCTCGCCCGTAGAAGCGGGACTGGATGGACCGGAACAATGTGGGCGAGACGGCCAGGACGGGGAGGTGTTGCAGATCGGGGTCGTGGTCCAGGCTGTTGCAGGCGACGTGGTGGGCGTTGTGGGTCCACTTCCACCAGGCGATGCTGATCCCGGTGAGGCAGTTTCCGGTGAGGATCTGGGCGAATTTGTTGAATCCGCGGGTGGTCATGATGTTGTAGTGGCCGGAATCGTGGCCGAGGTAGGAAATCTGCATCCAGGCGAGGCCCAGCAGGGCGCCGGAGAGGACGTGGGCGAGGAGGGTGTGGCAGCGGAGGACGCCGTAGAGACAGAGGGAGAGGAGGAGGGCGATGAAGGAGAAGGAGTAGATGACGCCGTGGCCCTTGTTGTCGAAGAGGCCGGCTCTGGAGAAGTCGGAACAGAGGGCCCTGTAGTCCTTGGAGACCTCGGAGACGCGGTAATCCCGGAGGTAGTAGCCGGTGAAGAAGGGGTCGAGATGCTTCCAGGCGGTGCCGGGGTGGAAGGCGATGAAGGCGTCGGTGCAGTCCTGGCCGGCGAGATCGAGGATGGGGACGTCGCCGCCGGGGTGCCGTTGAATCCACTCCGTGACGTCGTAGACCTTGCCCTGGATGGAAATCCACAGATCTCCCCTGGCGCTGTGCTTGCGCAGCTCCTCGGAAGTAATGTACCTTTTGTCCTCCTCCGCCACCATTGCCGTCGTCGAACAAGATCTGAGGAAAACAACAATGTAAATGTAGATGTAAATCTAATTAAGCAGGCCGGGGAGAGGAGAGATGGGTGCTCTGATGATTAATGATTATATATGTGAGTAATTATTATTATTATTATTCTTCTTCTTCTTCGATTCTATCCATCAAAACCGCACCCACTCCCTCCTTTCCTTTTATTTGTTTTTCTTCTTCTGTTGAATATGGCTTCTTTTTTTTTTGGATTGCAGAGAAACCAACCAACGCGGTTTGAATAAGTTTGTTTCCTGAGAAAGGGGTTTGTGTTGAAGGGAGACATATGCGGGGAGTGAAACGCATGAATCTCTCCCCCAATTTCTCAATCCATATTCGACTAGGATTGTCTCTTTTCTTTTCTTTTTTTTTTTTTTTAACTTTAACACACAAAGTCAATACTTCGTCTAGTGCCATTGAAACTTAAATATTCTTATTATTATTATTAAAATCAGATCAATTAAATTAGATTAAACTTAAATATAATCAAATTAAATATACAACACCTGTTTTTAGCTGGTCAATAGATGCCCAAAAATGGAAATTACTCCCGTATCTTTAATTCAAATCCATGTATGGGGAAAGCATATGAGTCTTTGCACTTATAGATCTCTCTGTTTATGGAGTATTAATAAATTTTAAATCAAAACTTAGAGAGAGAGAGAGTTATTTATTTCTTCTCAAACTAGTGTCCGGATCCATTCAAAAGGAATTAAATCATTCTACTACGTGTTTTTTAGATAGAGCCAATTCTGAACATGATCGTTTATATTAAGGCGGTTGATTAAATCAATTCTTAATAATGAATACTCCGTAATTCTTTTATAATACGTCATAAAAGTCATTAAAGGCGATAGACTTTAATATATACTCCCTCTGTCCCTAAATAAACTTCCTTTTTTGTTTTTTCATTGTCCCTAATATATACTCCCTCTGTCCCTAATATATACTCCCTCTGTCCCTTACTTTTTCATACCCTACCTATCACATCATACTTTTTTATTAATAATCTACCTATCACATCTTACTTTTACACATCACATCAAGGGTATTTTTGAAAAGTCAACACCAAAATATTCCTCCCTTAAGTCCTTAAAAAGTCAAAAACAGAAATTTATTTAGAGACGAAGAGAGTAATAATTACCATCATCGAACCTTATAATAGAATTTTTCTCACGATAGCTCACTGAAAATTGGGGTGATTTAATAATTATAACTTCAATGGAGTGATTTCGAGAAGTATTCAATTACTCCGCATAAATTATTACAGTATATATGTAATTATTGCATATTGAGAAATGGTTTAGAAATAATTTTATAACCATGTTACAATTACACTAAGAAATGTACATCAAAGTTACACTAAGAAATGTACATCAAAGTTACACTAAGATATATACTAATATTTTGATGATTCACATTAGCATAAAGTAATAAAAAAATTATACTAACATTTTATATTTGTATAAATCATCATGTACCCCAAAAATTACATCACACTGGCACAAAATATAAATCTACATATGCCGTTTACAAATTGGAATCCATGAATTTATTATAAAGAATGGTTTTGGAAATTTGAGGTAAGAATGAAGGATTAAGCTATGTTTACCCCAACATTTATACTACAATTTGTACCCCGCAGGTTTGCACCAACATTTTGTGTTGGTGAAAACTAATTTTTGTTAACGCACCAACACTTTGTGTCCGTGTAAATTTTTTTTAACGCAGCAATACTTGTG